CGATATCGATGTCCATTTTATTAGCTTCTTCCTCATTTGTATTTGGAACTGCCTGTTCGACCATTACTTCTTCTTTGGAGTCGTCGACAATTATAGGTCCATCTTCACCCATTGTCACCTCCTTCGATTCAACGTTGATTTCGCCCGTGTCAACCGCATTGTGTTTCTCCACCCATTCCGCATCGTCATTGGAAGTCGCAACTTCTTCGATACTGTCGCTTGGTCGAGCTCGTTTTCGAAAAATATCGGTGGCTGTAGGCGCTGGACTTTGTGATCTGCGTTTTCTCTTTTGTCGATCTTCAATTGCTTCTCGCGGTTCCACGGATAGCTCAGCCGAGCGATTACCCTCAGGTTGTTCGGGTGGCTGAGATGTTGCTTGCGAGGGAGGCAGAGAGAACTCTGTCGTATCTATCGGTTGTGCGGGCTGGATATTCTCCTCCTCCTTTGTTTCATTTGAGGGGAGTTGCTTATCATCTGTAGCCGAAGTTGACGTGGTCGCCGCATCTTTCAAATCGACAGGCTCAATAGTCGGATCCGTTTGTTGCTCTGCGAGGATTTCAGGTGACGTTTGCAATTCATTGTTTTCGGGAATTGTGTTTTCTTGCGATTCTTCTGTGTTGTCAGGTCTGGGCTCTGTACCAGTCTCGAAAGATGTTTGTGTGGGTGAAATTGTGTCTGGAGATGTCGTAGACTCTGGGTTTATTTTGCTTGCATCATCCTGAATTGTCATGTCACTTTCCGACTCATTTTCGTTCTCTGCAGATATAAGTCGAGCGACAAGAGCAGGTTTGAGACCGGTTTGTGGAAGGCCTCGTTTCTTCAACTCTGCCTTCAGGTCAACGACCTTCAATTTATTCCAATCAGTCATTGTAAATGATGTGAAAGTCAACTTAATAAATGCGCATTGCTAGAAAAGTCAATTGAAAATTGATTGATATTGAAACCAAAGAGTAAAATGGGTTTATGTAATTGCGATCTTGATGGGATACTTTTCTTTCTTCAATCTGTCGTAGAATTAGAAATTGTATCCTGCAAACAATTTATCAAAGCCTGGATTCAAATTCAACGCGTCAGGATCACGTCTGATCCTTGCAAAATGTTACGGAACCATCCGAACCATGCCACATGGATGAGGCCTATTATCTAAGGCTGACTGGTAGCTGTGCCTTAATAACAAGGCTTTCAGGTGTTGGTCACTTTTCGTCTTTCGTCTTGGGATTAAAATTCAACTGGAAGATATCTCATCAAAACACTTCATCAAGTACTATCGACTTTGCGTAAGTATCACGATTACATGAATCTAAAGCTCTCCAACCCTGGATTTTTTCTATTACGTTTTCATTTCATTTTTAACTAGACAACTATACTGCATGGCCTATATCTTGTCGACTTTCTGTTCTCGAATTACTCCTCCCTTGCTCTTGTTCGCTCGAACTGCCTCTCGACCCAATTACAGTGACAGCTGTCGTATTTTTGATACGTTCTTCTCGGGGGTTCTTTTCCTCGGTTTTTACACTCACTTCCCTACTTTCCCATATTTCCAGCCTATCATCAACAGTCAGTTCATTTTCTAGGATGTAGACGACCAAGTTCGAAAGATACAAATATCTCAACTGAGACGTTAAGGGCACGAGGAACTTACCCTATTGCTGAACCATCTTGTGTACTTCCGTGTATTATTACATCTCTACTTTCACTTCTATACATCGAGTTGTCTCTTTTGTTGCCAAATCTTGAACTGGTCGCATTGGTAAAGTATCTCTTCGGAGCCGCTCTGCTCTTTGACTTGGTACCTTCGCTAGTTCCAGACCATGATCTCCAACCGAATAGTTTTCTTGCTAATGGCCAACACATTGGAATATTGGTCACGAACATCACAGTTGATGCTTCTCTTACATACCACTTCATTGATAAAAATTAGCGTTTTGAAGACAAAGCAGTTAATTGAACTCACGTAGGTCCACATCATACCAAAAGGATGTACGAAGGAATAATATTTATTAGCTGCAGCAGATATGATGGCAAATATGCCAAGGGAGAAGACGCTGATGAGAAGTGCTTTCCTAAATACACTGTTAGTAAGTGGCACAAACGAATGACAGAGACCAAATGAAGATAGGAACAAACTTCAGGGTAGGCAGCTGTGCCTTGATAACCAGCGGCATTGGTAGAAACAACATCATGAGATCAGAACTGATGTTGAACGTTGCGTTTACTATCAAGTGATGAAGAGCTGTTGAGCATTGCTCTGTAGTCTTCATATTAGTCTACAATCTCGGAAGGAAAGATACTGCTTCGGACGAACCATTCGGAGTAGGGACTGCCCAATAGTTTGAGAATGGTCTACACCATACCCCAAAATAAAGAACCTCCATGACCACCAAGCCTGTACCCACGTATATGGCGACTAGTTTTACAATAAAATTGTGGGGTTTAATACCCTGCCTATAACTTTCATTAATATAGCTAACATGCGTTGGGGAAGGGGACATACATCATCTGCATGTACATCAACAACAAACAAGCTTTGCCACCCCAAATGGTCATGATCATTGACTGTTCCACTACGAGCACGAGTTTGCTGCCTTCCACACGAGATGCAATTGATTCAGGAGTGAGCTATTGAGCTTCTGTTAGCTCTCCAATTCGGAAGACATGGATGAGAACACGAACTTGTGGAATATCAGCCGGTGAGATGAGATTTGTATCTAAATTGATTACAATATTTATAGATACCATGAGAGTAGTGTAGAAGAGCTATTATGTGTTAGATTTAAAAAACTGACTTGAAGTAGGCATCACTTACAAACACAACGAGCATAACATAATCTTGTAGTTGGTAATTCTTTACCGAACCAAGTTGTAGCCATCTCGAAATACTGAAAAGAAGACTCGTTAGTTCTACTCGCAACCTGGTTCAGTTCTCACTGTGGTCGGGAGGACAGTGTCAACCTCAAATCACTGTGGCCAAAATGCTACTGTGAAGGTGTGATAATACATACTATCTGAGGATTAGAATCAACACCACGAACGGGTACCAAGTCGCCGATTCCACCAATAGTGAGTGCATTTCGTGTTTCTCGGTCGTTTTTTATTCACGGTTCCCCTATGCAATATCCTGCAAGAGAATTCTCGTGCATGTACGGACAATTCTTATATCATGATAGGCTCGAACGAAGGAAGTATTAAGCGGACCCAGCGATATTAATTAACGGGATGGCGATTGGAGCAAAGTTTTGAGAGAGATAGCACATGAAATGCAAGATGAGAGAATGGGTAAAATAGCCAAATTTCAGTGGGAAGTTTATTCTTGTATACCAAAAATTAACATTTCCGGGAGCACGTTTCTAAGATGAAATGGAAGATCACGAGCCAGAGATAAGAGCGCGCTAGAAGCAATTTTGATACTTCTAGCTTGGACGTCAAAAGATTCGCTATGACTTCTAACGCCGAAAAAGGTTATTTCACATGGTAAAGACTCTTTGCCACGATGCTGTAGGGAGTATGAAGTCGCGTCTTTTCTTATCAATGTCCGGGAATATGGCTGTTATGGGTTTAGGTGTTGTTGGCTTGATCGATGTGGTTTCAAATCCCGAGTTTCATTTGTGTTCGGAATATAAAATTTGTATATATCATTCGACCACCCCCCGTCGTTCCCGTAGATACAGATGTCTAAATCCGAACCTCATCTCCCATTCTTCTCTTTCCATCACCTTCTTTACTTTATTCCATTCATACTTTCAACAAGTCCTCACTGAACTCCACTCTCCCCCCCAGATCGACATTCTTTGCCCAAGATCACCACTCGTAATTCCGCTTCCCCATCACACAATATTCCCTATCGGATTATCCCATCAATCAGCACAGCCTTCTTTCTCACAGCTAGAAACAATACAGATCTAGGAAATAAAACGTAGTTTCAATCAGCTCATGTATCCGCCCTATTCAGGGGTCTTGCTAGTACACAATGCGCATTCCCTAACACATTCTTGCTAAGCGAATTGTGTTAGGGAGACTGAGCAAATTGACTGGTCTGGGTATGGAGATGGAGCGTAGGGCCAAGCCTCCCGGTTGGTAGCTTACTCCGTATCGCACTAACAGAAGTGGACATGCGGGTATGATGTAGGAGGGGAAGAGATAGATGGTGTATTTTGCGCGCTGTAATGACACATTCATCAGAACAATGAGAAGAAATCCAATGTAAATTATGTGCAGATTTGTCTTGCGTGGATAACAATCACAAGGCCGTGTTCAATATTGATCAATAACTTTATTCACTAACAACAAGCAGACAGAATGCGACTCGATTCACAATGCGAACTATACTAACAAATCATTATCGAATTCTTCAAATAGAAAAAAGAAAACAATAAGGTTCAATAGGATTTTCAGAACCTCAAAATTAAATAGTCCAAAGTTTATAATTTTTTAAATTGGTGATTCACAATTCCAGGGCCATGGGCACTAATTGATGATTGGTGAGACTCAGGAGAGCAAGAGTAAATCATTACACTAAGTAGCGTACACCGGTATAACATCATGTAAGCGAGAGAAAAAATACACCTTGATGTATACCTACCCAAATCCCAAGAGAACCAAGACATCTCATCATGTCAACAAATTTAATTTAATTATATTGATGCTATTAAACTTTTTGGGGGGGGCTCAGGATGTATGACGATGATCTTGAGTTTTCGGAGGGATGATTTACAAATTCAAAATAACCTTCTCGTAATATACGGAGGGTGCCACTATAGGAAGGTGATAATCCGTAGGGAGACATAGTTTGACAGTAGATAAGTTGGGGAAGATCGACGTCAACAAATTAGCTATATGGAGAAGTTTGGGTCGCTCGGAGGCATCGGAGGTAAGGTGCGTAATTCGGACAACTATTCAATCTCCAGTACAAATTACACGAGGACTTCTCCAACGGTATTCGGGTAGTGTTGGGCTAGTTTTCACTTGCAGTACCTATCGAATGAGTAATGCACAAAACATCATTACAATTCAACCGTAGTATAGTGCACGAAGTCTGGTTCAGATGGACTTGCGATGTCAATGGGCTGAATAGAAGGCACAGCATCATCGACGGTGAAAGCCCCTTCAAGCATTATACACAGAGCGCTGATTTCGCACTGAATCTATTTCTCGTCATAGATCTATCGGAATGACGTGCGGGTAGACTTGATCAATCCTAACTTCTACTCACGTCTAAAGCCCAAAGCTTTTCTTCGCCTGATCCTGTATTTCGTACATATTTACACCTATTTTCGTCCATGATCGTTTCCCATCCCTTTATAATGCGCCTAATTCCTTCAATTTGGAGATCATTCCATCAACGTCGTCGACTTTACCGCCTCCTTGTCTTGGCGGTGGTTCTATATCCATGTTGTTAGTAGCTATCCATTATACCCACCCAGTGCTTGAATCATTAAATGCCTGTATAAAATGATTGACATACCAATAACCTTCAAAGTCTTTAATCTCTTGGTACCATCCACGCCCCAGTCACCAAGTGTAGATTTCTCCAGCTTCTTCTTCTTCGCCTTCATGATACTCTGCAAGCTCGCGTATCTCGGTTCATTCAATCTCAGATCTGTTGTGATGACCATAGGTAATTTGCCCCTCACCACATCCGTTCCGCCATCCACCTCTTTTGTAACCTCAACTATATCTCCATCCTTGAACTCCACCTTACTCGCCTGCGTCGCTTGACTCCATCCCAACAACCCCGCCAACATTTGTCCTGTCTGCCCCGCATCGTCATCAATACTTTGTTTCCCCAAAAATACCAAATTGCTCTTCTCCTTCTCCACAACCTTCTGTAACAGTTTTGCTACTCCCAATGGTTCCAATTCTTCTCCATCTTTCATCTCAACCAGTAAACTGCGGTCGGCACCCATAGCCATTGCTGTACGTAGAATATCTTGCGATTTGGTCGGTCCAGCGGAAAATGCGAGGATTTCTTCGACGCCGCCGGGCGCTGATTTCTTCTCGCGAATTCGTACAGATTCTTCAATTGAGAGTTCATCGAAAGGGTTCATGCTGTGTTTGACGCCATTGGTCTCGATGGCTGTCTGGGCTTTGTTGACACGGGGTTTGACCTGTAGTATTTGGATTAGTTAGAGTCATTTTTTATTTGCGCAGCGGAAATCAAGGGATTGAATTTGTTGTTGGAAATTCGAAGAGAGTGGGAATACGGACCGCATAGTCAATAACCCTCTTTACGGGTACAAGAATTCTTAGGGCTGACATGATTATAGTAGGAGTATTGGAGAATTCGTCGTCGTCGTGGAAGAATCACAATTTGAAGCTCTGGATGATGAAGGACCGACCGGTTTCGCTCGGCCTAAGCTTCCCCACACCAACCCGCTTCCTCGGTAGACTAGTATCACGTGCATGACAGTTCCCGAAATCTTTATGATTGTGATTTTCCCTCTCAACTCCTCATTTATTGCGGAATTGTTTCTTTCGTGTTGTTTACAGGTACGATACTCTTTAAATTAGTATCTGGTCTCAAAATGAAATTGTTGACAGTAAAAGAGTGAAATTGTATGGCCTTGTTTTCACCCATCGGCTCTACTGCACCTCCCTATCAGCTGTAAGCTGAATGATATCGACAGCACCAGCATTCTACGAATGTTTAATATAGAAAGAATTATCCATTACAAGATATAACGCAGTTGAAAGTATGTTCAATCGTATCGCCTGGTCTGGGTGGTAACTTTAGCTCTCACTGAGATCGTGTAATGTAGTCCTTTCGAAGGACTACATTGTGGTCTGGACTCGCAAGACAGAAAAATAAATAGAGAGGTGATCATTCTAGGATATCCAATGATAAACTATTTTACGATTGATCCAACCTCATCAGAAATCCTCAACATCATCATAAATACTAACATTAACATACCTCCTCAATCTCAAGTATAAGTAAGACAAGCGTCCTCGATCCCCGCCTTTGGCGTCGCATAATGTGTAACTTGGGTGCCGTTTTGCTCACCTCCCAGTACCTCCACGCTGCCCTCTTCATATTTAGGCCACCCCGCGTTGCTCAATCCATTCTCGGGATCCCTTGCGAACGTCAAGCAAAGATCTTGCATTGCCTCACTAGTATTCTTCTGGAATCGGGTTCCGTCTCCACCAACATCAGCATATGTTCCAAAACTCATGGGCAGTCCACTGGAATGATACGCTCCCATGAAGGGGAGTGGTGAGAGATTACTAAAGTTGTCGGAATATTCAAAGCGGTAGGTTGTTGCGTTGAGAGATTGTCGGATTTGCGCTTCGGCTACGACGCCGCAACGAACGTGTAACGTAGCCGCTAATTCCTTTTCGGGTGTTGGCCCCTCGATGTTAGGAGGACCGGAGGAGAGTGCAGCGGTGGAAGCTCCATCAATCTGTGGTTTGTCATGTTAGTGAGCTTGAATCTTGGGGAATACCTTATTAATGAGAAAGCAAGAAAGACGAGAAAGAAAAAGAGCTTATCAAGTTATGTCCCAATATTTTGGGTAGCTTTGCGTAATGCCCAGAGAGATATGCAGCAGTATAGTTCGCAAATGTGTTGTTATTATCATTATACGACTGAAAAACCAACGCAGGCGTCTTGCCAGCATCAGTCCAATATTGGATAAACGCCTCGATATCAGCTTGTGGATAAGTGCTCATACACTCAACCTGACTTGTGGTACTACCAGTGCATCCAAGCTCATTTGCCAAAAAGGTAAAGTTCGAGTGAGTGGTATCAGTATAAACGGTATGGACACCCTGGCCCTCGACAGCACCGGAATCTTGGATAAATCCAGTGACAATTGGATCATCTGGCCAGCCAGTGCTGGGAGCTCCAGTCAGAGTAGCACCAGCTGATTGACCCCAAAGTACCATGCTCGAAGGATCACCACCGAAAGCGGCGATATTGTCTCGAATCCATTCGAGGGCGGCTCTAGCATCAAAAATTTAGAGTCCAGCATTTTTGGTTGGTGTGTTTGGTTGACCGAAAAAGTTCAGCCTGTATTGCAATGAGACGACAATATGCGATTGAGTACGCTGGACCCATCGTTGTGGATTTTGGTAAGGTACAGATGAACCACCTGTGGTCTGACCACCTCCATAAATCCAAACGATCACAGGGACTTTGTCCTTGGTCGGGTACAATGGTGCCCAAACACTGACGCTTAAACAACCATCTCCGTTGGCACTTTGGATGAAATATTCACGTCTCACGTCAGTGTAGACAGATGCAGGGGTTGCTTCATACTGGGGGTAGTTGAGGTTGAATGCATCGGCGTGGATGATTTGTTGCGCTGCGGACGCAGGAAGTGGTTGTGCTTTTCGAAAACGATTCTCACCGAATGTTGATTGTGCGCACGGAATACCCAGAAAGTTTCTGGTTAAGGGGACGCTTTCGTTGATGGCACCATGAACTTCCGGGAATATTAGTCAAATTTCTGCCTGGCTATCTTGTCGATCCATATAGATTGCTTGAATGCTCACCAATTCCACTAGATGTCTGAAGCACAAGCGGAGCTTTAATACTGAAAGTCTCCGAATTATTCGTGCTTCTTGGTTTCAAGACTATTGGTCTTGCATTTGCAAGCAATGAACCAGAGTCAATAACCAAGATAGAAGCCACAGCTTTAATCAATCCAACCATCTTTTCAGTGATGTGAATGAAAGATCCAGGCAAAGTGGCATTAACCACCTAAGAAGAAGCTGCGTCTGGTGTATACAAAAGTAGATGATCTAAGGGATGCAGACGCAAATGCAGATGCAAATGGATGATCAGATAGGAAACTCAGGGGAAATCTGGAGACCTTATATACACAATATGAGTTGAAAGATAAATCGAGCTAATTGCCCTTTGAAGTTGGAATTATCGGCAAGGTTGGAATATAACAAAAGCGAAGTTATACCCACCATTCTCGTCTTACCAATGGCTACATTGATACGTCACTTTTACCTCATTAAAAATACAGAGGCGCTCCTTGTTTGTAGCGCGGGGCCACTAGTATTCACGGCTTAGACGGATGCCGCAATGAGCTATATCTTTATATCCGTGATGCGAATGTGAAGTATGTATGCAAAGTACATGCATGCACCTAACCAAGTAATTCGGAGTTATAATACTTACTTAACTCACTTCCATAGTGTTACTTTCCGCGATGCACTGACACGCCTTAGTCTCCAGTTTTTGAGTTCCATAATCTAGTTTCTCGTCCTGATTTTATTCCTGTGTCTTTTCATAGTATCATCGATGGATGAGCGGCTGCTCGGTGTTGACGCTTGAAAAGTGCATCTGGCCCCGAGTGTACATTCGCTAGCAAGATTCGGTAATCATAACACGTGAGGGAGAGGTTCGAAAGTCCATAATTATCAGTAAGAAGCACTGGAAACTCTGATATCATCCCACCTCTGATCCTGGTAGCAATCTTTGTAAGAACTATAGATCCTCCTCCCCGCCCTTATGCAGTATCAGTTTGTTTGCTACATGCCATAGTAGTGCATATTTTTTACGAAAGACTTTATGGTGAATTCCCCGCATTCCATTCCCCGCAAAACCTTACACCCCCGCATAAGTCGAAATAGGTTCGATAATTGGCTTATGACGATGTCATGTCAGTGCTAGTTGAAGGGTGGGGGCAAGTGGTAAGGGCTGAAAGCCCCCACTCGCGTAGACGCACCCTAAAATCGTGCCTTAAATCTCATTATATCCGGTACACCGGTACACTGGCTCGGGACCGATACAAAAAAAAACCATAGGGAAAGCTTGCTAGGGTGGGAATGTGTTAGTCTAGAAAAAATGGTCGAAAGCTAATATATTGTTTATATAGTTGATGTGCTTCTGAGCTGTGGAAGTATGCAGCCGTGAGAACCGCAATGCTTATTCCTCAAGTCCCGCACGATTAAGTTCGGTTATGGGGAAGAACTTTACTCCGTATTGTAGTTGAAATTACGTGCGAACTCTGAAAACCTGGCAAACTTGGTCTGTTGTGGATTAGCAGTTGATTCTTTGACATTCACAAAGCTGGGAATCCCCGGCTCATATGAACAGCCCGCCCGATGGTTCTCAAAGTCTCGTCTCGAGTTTGTGTCTTTGAGAAACCTAATATTCTCTACAATGGCTCAAGGAGGAGGTAGAGCGGACTTTGATAGTATGCTCAACCCCATCTCCACTCTCTCCTACGAGAATCACCTGTGCTAGAAGAATCTACCAATTTTTCACTATGGCATTGCTTACTCTCTGTGCTGCCTTCTTCCTGTTCTTTGTCCCCTCACTCGTTGTTGGTCAGGCCTCTCTTAATTCCACCGCAATTCCACTTCCTGTTCCGGAAGGACCGTATGCTTCTAAAATCACAGTATTAGAGCTTACCGACACGTCGCGGGCGAACCCATTCAATGGATCTTCTCCATACCGTTAACTTGTAGTCAGCTATTATGAGCCATATCTCAGGGAAGATTGTGCTAACATTGGAGAAATCAACTACATGCCAGCTGCCGTGGTAGAGTGGTTCAATGAGAACGATCTCCCAAGCCCTGATTTGACATCATTCTCTCAACTCAGATTTTCCGATATTTGCCTTGAAGCACCAACCACCAAGCCTGATACGCTTCTTCTCATCTGGACTGGTGGTTTCTATACCAGCCGTCTCCAGTACGGTGCTATTGCACAAGCAATTTCTAGCTGGGGCTACAGAGTTGTGACAATAGATCATCCATATGATGCAACAATTGTAGAATTTCCAGATGGAACCATCATTTAAAGTGCGTACGCCGGCGGAGCCTCAACTTACGCGACTAGCGCGTATCTTCAAAGCATCCGTGTCAAAGACATTGAGTTCGTCACAGGTGTATTTTCGGAAACTTCTGAGGTTATTGGTCTATACGGACATTCCTTGGGAGCCTCATCTCAGACCGCTGTATTGCAAGCAGACACAACGGGCAAATATGTGGCAGGTTACAACTTGGACGGTAAATTGCAACCCCCTGTTAAGCCAACTGGACTCGGTAACTTATCTGAGATCAAAAAATTTACATGTTCTTTGCACATGATAATCACATTATTGGCAGTGACCCATCATGGACTGCATTCTGGAACACGGCGGATGTTTTGACTCCAAACGATGATAGGGTATCTCCTGAACTCCCTAAGACAATTCATAACTCATTCACTGATCTACCATTCATTATCGATGTGGCTGGCGTTCGATCAGTCAATGAATCTTACTTCGAGACACTCATTGATACTATTTATGGACCCCGCGATATTCACGATATTACCTCATATGTTCGTGAGTTCTTCGATGGGACACTTAAAGGTGTCGAGACGCATCCATTTTTAGATGCGTCGAATAGCTCTTTGCCAGATGTTCTTTTCGTTCGAAAGGCTGGTTATTAGGTCTGAATGATTATTCTCAGGCAGAGATGTATCAATTGTCGACATGAATAATGGATGAAAATAACTGCGTCTATTATATTGAAAGAAATATTGGAACCACAGCTCTAGGAAAGTAGAAAAAGCGGGAAAGCGCTTGAGAAAGCTATCAAGGCATTATATGAAATTAAAAATTTACCAAAATATTTGATATTATTAATTCATGAGATACTGAGGTTCAAATCTGATAATTCTTGGTCTGATTTATGTGTTCAGGTAAGCCTCACCGCACGGCTCTCAGCCACATAGTCGACCCCTTTCTTCGACTTACATACCCATTATCGCTGACTACACCATTTGACTAAGCCCATTAAAAATTATCTGATTACCCGAGGATACCCTCTTTCATTAATATGCTTCATCAAGACGTAAACTCTCCATCGGTCATGGTCAAAATGTTCAACTTCCAGGTCTGAACACTTCGAGCTCTTGCGACACACATTCATTATCCCCAGTGCTCAATCTCTCAATTCGTTCATTACCTCGCTCCCATTTCGTTCTCCATCGGTATTAACACCACCTCTTGCCCTGAACCCCGGAGATACAACAAGGATAACGAAGTACCGCATATTTTAATAAATTATGTCGTGCCCCTGATCTTGCTCATTGGTAAACATTAAATCCTACCAATACTGGTAAAGCACCATTCTTGATACAGCAGATTTGTCATACATCTGTGCAAATCTTCGCATTTCTTGCATGAGTTGCGGAGATGTTGTAGGAGTGTTGCTTTTTAACGCCTGGTGAAAGTGTGAGATAGTCAAGATTCTCCTGTTCTTAACATCCAAAGCCTCACCAGCTTCTTTGTTGCGATATTCTCGTTGCGATATAACAGCGGTCTCAACACACAAAGCCATGATGTCTGAACCTGTATACCGATGTGTTACTTCCGCAAGCTTCTTTAAATCGACACTCCTATCTAAGGATTCTTCTTTTAAGAACATTCGGAACATGTTCTCTCGTGCCAAGATCGTGGGGAGTCCAATATAGATTCGACAAGGTACTCTTCTCAACACTGCAGGATCAAGCAGATGAGGTAAATTTGTTGCAAGAAGTAAGAAAGGCGAGGTTGAATCTTTGGAGACGCCATCTGCTTCTTGTAGTAGCTGGTTGACGAGTTTTCTCTGGTAGATTGACCCTGATCCACCTTGGCTACGAGAACTAAATAAAGAGTCCGCTTCATCGATGAAGATGATAGATGGAAAAAGCATCTTTCCGAGCTTGAACAAGCTTGCAACAAGCTTTTCCGTCTCACCAACATATTTGCTTTCCATCTCGGCGCCAGAGACACTAAGCATGATCGATCCAGAGGTCTTCGCAAGTACTCTTGCCAGTTGTGTTTTACCAGTCCCTGGAGGACCGTATAGTAGTGCACCCCCAGCGGAGGTCTTAAGAATTCCACAGGAATCTTTTTGAGATTCTCCGAGTGAAATTAGATCTGTAATGCGGGCCTTGATATCTGAGTCAAGTTCAATGTTTGACCAAGTTGTATTAAGATCGCCTGTGAAAGTGTGAGAATTTTATTTTATGATCAAGACACGCAATGTGATGGCATAACTACCTGGACTGACAACAGTGTCGAGCAATTGGTACAAATGCTCGTCTTCTTGACTCTTCGATATCTGTTCCGCTATGCTCCAAGCCCGTCGGGGGAGCTTCGACTTCCACGGCGCTTTTTGATCGTCCTCGTCCTCATCTTCGTAATTTTCGAGCCACTGCTTCTCTGCTTCACTTCGCTTCTCATACGTTTCCATGACTAACTTCATAGAGTCACTATCTAATTGGCGTTTCGCTATCGTTCTGGCAATGATCTCTATGTTGTCCCAAGGAAAGAAATGGCGGCGCATAGCTCGCAAAGTAGCATCTGGAATGAACGTCTCCCAATCTACAGCGTAAGGCTGTGCCAAAGGTGACATTTTTGCTTCTGGCGACATTCTAATGCAACGTTGCAAGTGTCTTATATTTTCTTTCAATCTTGCCTTCTCCTTATCCTTCTCGAGAAGTCTGTATTGTGCTTGACTTCTGGCTGTGAACATACGCAGAATTCCCTTCTGGGCGTGATTACTGATGGACTCAAGAATCTCATCGTCGTCTCCTCCTGACATCATAATGATCGTATCTTCTTTTGATAAAGTCCTGATAGCCATCTGTAGATGTTTGAACACCTGAAGATACTTTTTGTAACGACAAAACCTGCCAATACCTGAGACGAGAATTACCAGCCCTGGTGATCCTACGTTCTCTTCATCTCCAGCTCTCCCCAGAGTATTCTTCGACAAATGAGACTCAATGATCTTCTTCAAGAGGGCAGTATACTGAGAACTTCCCATGCCATCAATTTCTTTTTCTTCTGGGTTTTCAAGAAAAGGTTCGATTTGGTGGATCTTCTGCATTCCATGCTCTACTACCGACTCATTGCTTTCCAACTGTTCATCAACTGACGACAGCTCCTCTTCATCTTGAGGTAAAGTTGCACACATCTCGTTGCAGATTCCTGATGTCTTTTGACACATCAATTTGTGACGGAAAATTATGCTGCCTGTCAAAACGGAAATCACCGTCAATAAAAGTATCGTGGCAAACGTCAGAAGACCAAGGTACTGCGATAAGAAGAAGAGCCTGTCGGAAAACTTCCGTGTCCTTTTCGCGCACTCGACTCCATATTCTTGGGAATTTGTCGTTTCAACGCTAGAATCACTATTGTCAGATGCACTATCACTAGATCCACTCCTTGTTACGGGAGAAGACGAGCGTGATGTACTACAGACAGAAGAAGCCGGACAGCAGAGCTCCACACACATACACCGATCGTAGAGTAGATTGAGATAGTGATCGTCACCCCTTTCTTGGTCATCTCGGTGTTCTGTATCTTCTCCTTTCCCAAAATGCTCTGCCAAATCTCTAAAATCGTCGATATTCAATTCAATCAAATCCGCTTGCACATCACTAGCGAACTTCTTTGCCACTTCTGTCAAGAATTCTTGGCCAAGAAAATCATGGAACCCTCCAGGGAGAAGAAGCTGAACAGCATCAAGCGCAAACTTGGGAGTTTTGTCTGAACTGAAAGTCGATTTGAGGCCCTCAGCATTTTGTTTTGGCAGGATGATCTTGTCTTTTGGCATGACCAGACTAAAAAGTTCATCGTACAAAAAAGAATCCAATTCATATCTTTCTTCCTGATATGCCTGGCCATTTGATGTCGTATCTTTGACTTTCTCGGTAGGGTTTGGCGGATTTGGCGGAAGGATGACAATTCGACGCGCTTCCTGGCTCAACTCGAATGCAGTTGTGACACAATTGTCCATAAACCATGAAGGCATGGAGACATCTGAAGTAACCTCCTCGACTCCGTCTGCGTTCACCATGGCATCGACATCTACGGCCATACTTGTTGAGAGGACTTATCAGTGCTTAAACAGACACCGGAAACAGCCAATTTTGAAAGTTGTGATATAAAAAATGAAGAAGAAAAAAGGGTGAGAGATATAGGAGTGTTAAGAAGATTATTACACTAGAAGCTTCGCACCTATCTTTCGAAGAGAGGCAAAAGGAAATTTAGCAAAAAAAAAGCATGGCAGATCATGAAACTAGTCTATTCTACCGTGGATGTTCTCCACATCCATTGCATCTCTACTACACTAATTCGTTGTCTAGAAGCCCTAGATCCTGCTTGTAAGTAGCAAAAGACGTGCGGCATGTGTAAGATCTTAAAATACTTTGGCATACTATCAACCCGTGTCTTACGACCACTCGACGTAATGAGTCAAAGCAATCACTGATTTTCTGGTCGAGTAAAAAATTTCGAAGGCTGGCTGTCGTACCTAGTCAATCTTATCCGGTAGTGTTACTTCATCAGTGTCAGAGCTAAGCGCTGCCGCCTGACCACAAGTTCACAATTTCTGTCACCTTTCCTCGCTTAAACCCACGTCATGAACTAAACTCCCTTTTAGAGCCTCAACTTTATTGTAACATTACCGATCCCAATAATTTTTTCGTTTAGAGAAATGCATAGATATTGTATCCTCAAAAATGTGCATTTCGCGATAAAGAATTGTCATGAGGAAGGCAGGAGGGCCCGCACTAACCTACCCCTGACTTTACCAACCAATCACACTGCAACACATTGATATGCACCACCAAAATCATTAAATCTGAAAGCTTGATGCATTTGACTCACAACACAATACTGTTTCAAAGCTAGGACTTCAGATTATCCTACCTCGATGAGATGAGATGACATGTCAAGATTGAGTGGAGATCCTCAGCCGTCATTCTTCAAGGTACAGGAGTATTTTTATCCAGGCCTCTTTCTTCAGTTACCACAGCATGAGACACAAAGAACCCCTGATGCGCAATGAAACAGGATCTATGGTTATTTCTCGCTGCAATGAACCAATTTGGTGGTTTTCCCGAATTCATCATCAATTCTCTTCATCATGGAACTTAATTGATCTACCAATAAATGCAACTGGACTCAAGATTTAAAAGACTATTGGAAGTCGCAAGCGGTATCTCGAAGCTTCAACGTGCAGCACGTGTTTATGATTGTTCGTTCGGTTGACAGTGGAGTCTAGAGCGTCTGGATTCCTCTTCTAACTCGTCTTCGAAAACGAAACCATCATCAGAACCTTCAGGCGCCAAATGATAATCTACATAGATTGATGTCACTACACATATCCTGATCCGCATTCGACTATAACGATATCATTTCAGCTCTCGAATTCGAGCAAACCCCCCCTCCCCTGGAAATCCTCAATCCACTCAGTCTGAAAAGACTGCAGATGGTCCCTTATAACCGAGGATGAAAAAGCGGCATCACTGATTCAACAACACTATTATTACAAATTGATTTGATAAAGAATGGTTCTGGAGATATAGGGATTATGTTTGGTGTTCTGGTTCTCTCGTCCAGAGTGAGCCTTCTTAGACACCTCACGGCTTATGATCTCTGGGGTTGCAGCACGCTTTTTCACGAATTTCTATGGAGTCCTGATGGTCTGCTAGTCTGGAATTCTGGGCAGTGAGAGGCGAGACTTCCCTATATCGCTGAGATTGGTAGTGTCTGTTGGCATCGACTCTCGTCCGATTTGGAGAGTCCGTTCCATGAATCTGCTCCCTATCGTTCTCATCTTCTTCTTCATGCTCCGAGATTGGCGAAGCTCTATGTGTTTATTTCTCAGCCATGATGTGGAGATTAGCTCTTCTCCAATCGTATACATCTCTACTGGGAAACTCGTCCTTGGTGTATTAATCGGCCTCATCCTACTATTCAGAAATATCGTAAGTGATAACAAATCAGACGCGGTACAGAGTACAATCTATAGAGAATTGTGATGATGAGGTTTCATGCACGCATACTCATGGCCTCTGTTATCAATCACATGAAGATGATGAGCTGTGTAAATACAATATGCCTTGCCCATCTTTCCGCCAGGAAGACGTCTCCTAGGTTACAGACTTATTTTGTTCATGCTCTTGTGCATAGAGTGATCTATAAGGTATCACTGCGGATGATGGGATGGGATGATATTAATTGTGACGTTAAAGCATTTCCTTACTGAGCGATCGTTGTGATTATGGACGACTAAGATACGTGAATATTTATTTGGAACAACTATACACATTCTTTACTTCTGAATAGACAAGGTCTTGCCATATGAGAATTCATTCTGCTGTGACGAGATGACGCATCCACTACTGATCGGTTGAAGGGCGCCGAACCTGACAAAAAACACTTCACTCTATTCACGTATTCAATGAAACTTTTCAAATTGATATTAAAGACACAAAATAATTTTTATTGTAGGGATGACAAAGCACAAATGAGTGAGAGTATTTTACCATGGTTTTCGTTTTATTAGTAGCATGCATATATACTCACTTACACGCCGACCACCAGGATACTTGAGCGGAGAAAGATATGGGAGCGACTTACCTGTTACTAACCCCGAGGGCATTCCCCAAGATACCTAGAATATTTTGCGGAAGTCCTGCGGGTTGTGTAGCTAAGCTCTTCGCTTCTTTTTCTGCTGCATCTCTTATTCTTTTCTCTACTCGGACCTTGTCGGATATAAGCTGCTTACCATAGTAGTATGCTTGGGACGGGCAGCCAAGCCACATAAGATAATCGACCGTAGTAACATTATTCTTGTCCCCAAATCCGACTGGCTTTTCGACGTCGGCTCGTAGTTGTTCGAAAAGGTCTTCTTCGTTCTTGATGAGACATGCCTTTTCAACCAACTTCACACATATGTGAACCCAATGTAAAATGCTCTCCGAGTCAAGAGTTCCAGGGTGGTGACGAAACTCGATTGTGCGTTTGCCAAAATCAGAACGGAACGGGGGTTTTAAATTCCTTATGTTGAAGCCTGCACATTTGCGTCCCAGTTCTCCAACTACTTGACCATTATCAGTAAATGACAGGATACGATTTAGAAACTCAAGGCGTGTGAGCCCCGGATTGTTCCTACCTAGTGGAGACTCTTCATAGAGGGATCTACAATACATGCTATTTACCCGAGCCTCGGGAATCATCAATAAAATCTGACGTTGGTAGGTCCATGCGATGGCCATAAAATTGCGTAAAATGGGCCATTCGAAACCATGATATCCATTACCGATATGAACATGCAACCCTGTACTTTCGTTAACGCGCACTAAGTAATTATTTCTCAGTGCTCTCACAACTGTCTCTACAGCCTTTCGAGTGGCTGCATCGTAGTAGTAGGGTGGAGATGTTATTTCCATGCCATATTGACAATAATTTCCGGTGCTTGGACTTTGCACACCTGGGCCAACGGTGATGTCAGTTTTCAATATCCAATTCGTAGCAGTCGCTGCAGTCACTTCTTTGGTATTTCCATACTCGTACTCCATCACCGTTGCTGGAATGCCAACTTCCTCCAATTTCCTCTCAATATCATAATTTATGGAATCTTCATCTGCGAGGATTCTTGGATCTACCTCGCGAGGATCGCTTGGATGAGGGTTTTCACCACCCTTGAGTACAGTTGCTAAGAGAAATTCTAGTTCGACACCAAAAGTGAGCCGTGACTCTGCTTCTGGAGACGGTCCCGTTGGGGTAATCATCTTGATTAGATTGATTGATAAGATGAGTTTGTGATGCAAGTGTTGGGAAGTATATTATCAAAATGAATATCGAGAATCTGAAAGAGTTCTGATATAGGCAACAATCCGATTGTTCTTGCATAGTTAACTGATTTTTATGAAAGGGAAGCAACACTCCTCTCACAACATTCCAACAAAGCAACAACAGGTCTGAGCATCCTTTCTTAGATACAAAGACAACTACAACTACGGCGACAAAGGATTTAGTTCTTTATCTGGTTGTGAGTAGAGATAGTTTTTTGTTCCTTAGGGTCGGCATCTTTGACATAAGAAATTGAGATTGACCACGAGATATCGCTCCAAAACACACAGTGTGAAAGCCGTCATATTTCGGGGTTCGAGAATATTCAAGTCTGAAAAGATGCGTGAGCTCATGTCAAGAGGCAAGTCATATTCATCTTAAAGTGGACCAAATTGACTATTCTCTACTTTGACCAAGAGATTTTGAAACAAATCTATTGATTGAAGCTTACATTGACTGGCCAGTTACGATGATGATACCTGCAATTTAGGAATTAGTAACGTTTATACATTAGTCTCGTAGCCTGGATACATAGACTACAAGATCGATTTGTTCCTATCTTGAACGGCCATTGACACCGAACTGAAGCTAGATAATCGGCACTTAATTGGCTATTGTATGTCACAGGGCAAAGCCATAAAAATGTGGCCCCGATGCAAGATGCCATACTTTCATTAAGCTGATCGTTACGGCTTCAGATAGAATAACCTTCTTTAATTCAAATGTCGAAAAGTCTCCTTTGAATGATGAATATTAAAAATGATATTCTTGGTATGGAGAAATGAGCAGAGAAACCGGGGAAGGGGGAGTTAGTGGAGAGCTAGTGCAAAATGGTGATATTTAAAGTTTGACTTGTACCACGCTATAACTTAGCTAGAGTAGATTAGTGCGCAGAGTGATCTCATATACCTAGGTATATATAAGGTTATTGTTCCTCCATCACCCTCCCAAAATACCCTTTTCCTTAATAAACAGAAATCCTATCATCTTTGGGACAGGGATGAATTACCATCATCGCGATAACAGAAACACAAGTATGAATTACATTTACAATCCCGATGGCTTCTACTCTCAAGACTGACGAATTTTTAGGAAGCTAATATCGAAGAGGTCGAAACCCTCCGACAGTATCATTACTTAGATTTGAAGCGAATCCGTTCAATATTGTAGTAAAATTATCACAAAATGTGCAAAGAGTTGTATATGTATCACAGGTCATGCGGTGGCGATGGTACCAAGCCATGCATCTGTGATAAATCATGTCCGTACTACGAACCCTACTTCGCAAGTACCTGCGACTATGCTTGGCTAAGAGGAGATGATCGTACTATGTGCAAAGAATGCCCTCGCAGAGCCATGGATGACAAACGAAATAAGAAGGGGGAGATTGTGCCCGTCGCCACGTGTCACAGTTGTCCCGGACACAAGTTTCACATGAAAGGCGCTGATTTACCAAAGGCGGATCCTAACCATCGGTCAGCAATATCAATAAGAGCAATGGAAATCAAGAACGATTTTGAACGTTCAAAGTTTCCAGCGAGATCTCCTCCAGCAAAACCTCCTCTGGTGAGAAGGCCAGAATTTGCTGAGTACCTTGGGCGAGTCTTGGCAAAAAGGATGTAGCAATTTGTGATGAAGTTACTATCAAAATATTCTAGCGTCCAGTAACTTTGTATCTTAGCCCTGCATGCCGCACGATCGAAGGTGAATGGTAGACTGACGGGTCCATGAGATTATATCCATGTCTGCGCGGGTTATATATTGTTCATCATAAACGGTTGTACGAAAGCGTGTTTGATTTAACCGACCAAACCAATGGTCCTAGCGATGTTTTGCGAAGATGAAACGAGCAGAACAGGGGCTGTTATCAAAAGGGCTGTAATCGGATGTCGTTTGGAAACGTGAGTTTAGCGTCCGACTTCCTTCCCCTCTTCCATTTCCCCAGAGACGATATATATAATGAATCAAATTGGGTTCTAGAACAACCAATTGGGTGTTATATGTCGATCAATAAGGTAGAGTTTTGGGGAAACGTAGAAGCAATCAAAAACGTGCTTGTGAGGGCAAAGAGAGGAGGAAAGAAAGGGAGGTAGAACATGGCGGTTGAAAGAAGGAGGAAGGAAACAAATGAAGAAGAAATACAGCGGAGTAGGAGAATGTGCGAGAGTAGAGACAGACTTTCTCTATCAAAGCCCAAATCTTCCGCTCAGATAGCTCTAAACAAATATGCTTTCCAGTGCCTGCAACCTGCTAGATGAGTAATTGTCTCAATTCACCAGCTCTGGCCCTTAGAACATAGCCAAGAAATGCTATAAGCATCCAATCCAGAATCGAATAGTTCTAAGCAAATCTCCAGAAACGCAGCTTCGCCTAAATTTTTCCGAGGTTGAGAGGTTTTAACCTCACTCAGCTTATCCGCAATCAAACATTCGACGATGGTTGATTGAAATACTTGGCGGAGTGGAGCTAGTTTTTCGCTGTGAATAAGCTCAATTATACCCCAGCAAGATATTTCCGATATCAGTTGAATCCACAACGTGAGCATCAATGCTTGAACGGTTGTCGTGATTTATGCACAACCTTACGGTCCTGACTCCTAAATAGCAATATCATGGACCAGGATCTATCGCCCGGCCTCTCGTTTTATGGTTGGTATTCCCTATTTTCGACCACACGCGGAACCATGAGCTTGACAACAGGAATCTTTTCAATACACGCGGAGTGACATTCTCTCAACAAAAACAAATTCATGACAGTGTTACAGCACCATCAGAAACCCAACCTCCAGAAAAGAAAAACTTCAATTTTATCTCAAATTACATAATCTCGAATCTCATTGGATCGCATTCCAATACGCGTATTCGGAAAGCCTAAGAATGCAACGCCCCACGGGCCACGGCCCCTTAAGGCTGCGCTAACTTGATTGAGTAATCTGCATGAGTTTCTGGAGGATGCATTGAGCGTATCGACGTATACCTCAGTCAAAAACTTCCATATCATGATATACGCGTATATGATAAGAGCTGGACAGAAGTCACTATCAATTTTTCTTTTGGTAATACCCGAGAATCGTCAAGATGTTGAGGATAAAACCTATTGATAACCTCGAGTTGGAGTTGAAAGTCCATCTCCAACTTTTCCTTTTTACATCGTACAATCTTGATCGTTCCTTTTGATCATCCATTGGCAAAGATCTAAAGCACCCTTTATATCAACACAAATACACGAATACCAACTTCCTACTTCTTCACAATGGCGAAACTCGAACCCTATCGTGGAGATTACTATCTCTGGAACTACATTCCGTCTATAGCTGCAGCTGTAATCTTTATCATTCTCTTTATCTTAACAACCGCTCTACATACCTGGCGTATGTTTAAGACCAAGTCCTGGTTCTGCACAGCATTTTGCGTCGGAGGTCTCTGTGAGTAACTCACCATCTCCCTTGAGATGTAAACATATCCTAACCCTTACAGTCGAAACCATCGGTTACATTGGTCGAGCGATGGCGGTCAACAGTACCGGAAAACTCCTCCCATATGTCATCCAAAGTTTCTTCACCCTAGTTGCTCCAGCCTTCATGGCCGCATCGATCTACATGACACTCGGTCGAATTATGCGATATGTCCACGGAGAACATCATTCTATCATTCGGATCAATTGGCTCACAAAAATTTTCGTCATCGCAGATCTCTTGTCATTCTTCGTGCAAGCAGGATCCTCCGGGTTGATGTTCAACGACAGCACTGCCAGTCTTGGTCAAAAGATCGTGTTGGTCGGTCTATTCGTCCAGATCATAGCTTTCGGGTTTTTCTTGTTTACTGCCCTTGTATTCGAACGCCGAATAAGAAAAGAGCCCACACCGGAATCTTTCGTTGTTGAAGCAAACTGGATCCATCACTTGCATTGTCTTTACGCCATGAGTGTTCTCATTCTGATCCGATCAGTCTTCAGAGTTGTCGAGTATGCGGCGGGCCAGAAGGGGTATCCTCTGATGCATGAATGGACTGTGTACACATATGATACAGTACCAATGTGGATCGTCACCGTTATCTTTTTCATCTGGTATCCGTCTCAATTTCAAGTAAAGCCGGGAACTAGAACATCGCCAGGAGAGACGGGAGAAGAGGCGCAAAGTGTTCAATTGATGAATAGTGCAGAGAAAAAACGAGGTAGCAATGCTCGGACAAGAGCTTATGGTCCTCGGAGCATGGCATGAAGATTTTATGATAAAAGAGGCTGGCACCACATGCTATAGAGCCAATGAGATAAAGATTTAGGATTGGGATCTGCTCTTACTGTTATGATTCGTATTTGGATTGTCTGAGCAAGGTATTTGGTAAATAGGAGTCTGGAGTTATCCATTATGGCCAATTAGTTGAAATGGTTTGCAATGAGGATTGCAATACAGGACCCGTGGAGGGTAACATAGCTGTAGCCAATTCAAAAGTAATGAGATGAAACTAAATTTCTCGCACCCAGTGTCCACGTTCTCTTGCCCCTAAATAGTATGTGTACATATTGAGTAATCGTTTGTTTGAAGTACTTCCAGCTCTGAAAGACTATCAAAATATGGACAATGAATGTTTGATAGTGAGAAATAAATTGGGATACTCAGGACGGTATGACGGCAGTAGACAAAACTTCGGGTGGACAGAGAGGAAGATACACAATTCTTCATATCGATTGCGAGTTTTCCCATTTCGTTATCATCTGAGAGTCCTAAGGAAGTACGTAGAGTGACAATTTCCTTTCCTATTTCCGACACTAAACACCCCGTAGAGCAAAGTAATACGCTTGCAATTCGACGCTGATGTTTTTTTGTAGGGTTTTCCATCTCTTGTCCGAAGGATCAATAAATCGCCGGATTTCGAGTACAAGCGAGTCCCGAATTCATTCTTGATTATTGACCATCGCGAATTCGAAAGTTTTTTGCCCAGAAGCGTAGCGGCTGACAAAGGGGAACAATGCTCAAGTGGTGGTAGATGCCGTGAAATCGCCGTGCTAGATTAGAGTGATTATATATGTTTGCTTTTCAGCCTCGTTGATTCCGTACGTCCCTTCATATAATGACAACTCATCACCGCGTAATGCCTCGAGGCTTTTACGTGTACCCTCAAAAACTCTCATATGATCCAGTGGGCACGAATCACTGTGAGAAAGATAAAAACCAACGCGCGTGAAGAACCTTGGCTACCGGCGACGGGAGTAATCGAGAGACCCTCTTCGGCACCATGCCAGTTAGTCTCTTGGGCCGCATTGCTGATTTTGAGAATAACATTTTGATACAAATAAGCTTGTGTTTTTGTGCGAAGGGAGACGACTAAATGAGATGTGCAATGATTTAAATATAAGCGAGAGAATCTTGTACGACGGCAGTATCAGACACTACCTCACTGACTGACCGATAGAATGAGATCTCGTATGCAAGACCGATAATCGATGAGGTCTCAAACAAGGCCTTGAATATAGGCAATGGATTGATAGGCGCATGTATCATGTATATTCTGCAGGTTTTGAGCAGGGAATACATATACCTACCTACACCGCAGGCATCCATATGCAGTACACGAAATGTATATGAACGGATCAAAGCCAGAACAATTATGCCGTTGTATCTATGTGTTCAACCTGGCTCTGGTTCCGTGGTATGATGAAGGTTATATCCTTAAATCTTTTGTGCATATACAATGTTTGTGTAATTCCTAGGTAGTTAATTATCAGATTGGTGAGGTAGGTAAGTAATAGATGTTGAGGTGGGTGAGTCTCGAGAGTCATGCTAGGAGGCTGTCGAAGTACTCACTCGTGACTTCAGACATGTTCAACGGTGGTGCCAAGATAGCTTCTAGACTATACCCTTCCTCAGTTCAGGCTCCTTCACTCTCATTCCTCCATGGCCTGTAATCTGATACTACATCTCATAGATTTACTCTGCATCAGACTCACTAGCAAGAGTCTCCGGAAAAGTCTCCTCCATGTTAGATCGAGAATCGTCGTAATAATTTACATATATCTCACAGTAAATTGACTTTGCGCTCTTGATCATGATTAACCTTAAAAAGTACGCTAGATATATCTGATGCCTTAGGCAGAGAAAGGGCATCACAACAACTCGATTCATTATGAACTTGGATACAATGTGTATCCGATTTTTAACAATCTTTGTAGGGATTTGAGGTATATTTGATATTGGCTACTTCATCTCCTTCTTTCCTCGTGAATAGACACTTCCATTCGAATGTTTCAGGAATTTTCTTTATCCATTATTTTGAGACAGAGCTCAGTTGACAAATGCCTGCCTCTAATAAATTTCAACACAGCCACGATCACATACACACAAATACACTCATCAGGAGCGATCTCTCCAGTTTGTCGTTCTTTTACTTGAATCCTTCACCAATTGAGATATAAAAATGAATCGCCGATCCCACAGAAAGTCGAGGAAGGGATGTTTGCAGTGTAAATCAAGACATATCAAGGTTAGTAGTACACAGAAAGTGGAGCAACATTCTTGCGTTTGTTGCCCATCAAACCGTCGAGAATATGTGGCTAATATTTGTGAATGATTCTTCTTATAGTGTGATGAAACCCATCCAGAATGTGTTAATTGCAAAACAGCGAGTCACACATGCTCTTATAAGATTACTGCAAGCACCAATACCAGCAAAGTTACGACCCCAGAGTCAGCATTCACCAATTCACCAACTCCAACTTTCCAAAGTGACCCACAAATACCACATGGGCCCTTGTTGCAACCGGAACCTCCATCATTACTCCCATCATTACCTCAGTCATATGTGAACTTCACACATCTAGAGTTGTTTCAACATTTTTATGATGCTGATGGAAGCTTTTTGTGGGATGGGCAATTTCGAGACCACACTTCCAGGATAATCAAACATGCTCATAAGGCCCCATTTCTCATGTACGAGCTTCTTGCTTGCTCAGCACTGCATTTGAGTATCATTCGTCCTGATCAATTCCAATTTTATCACGATGAATCTAAAATATTGCAAGAACAATCAATCAAAATGTTTAACGAATCGGTACAAGAGGTGAATCATGAGAATTTGATCCCAGCCTTTGTGTATTCTGGGGTTTTAGGATTTCATTTCTTCGTGGACACATTTTCTATGCCTGGTTTGGACTTGAATCAATTCATTGATAAACTAGTTCAAGCGATCAAATTGATGCGTGGAGTTAGAGTTTGCTTCACTGGGTGGTGGGATGTTTTAAGGGAATCTGAGATTCATGAACTATTGCAGTTTGGCGATGCAGATATGGAGCACACTGATGAATTTGTGGACCATCTTCTCGCACTTCAAGAAAAGCTACCGGAGATTCCTGGTATGAAGGAAGCAGAACTTGAGGTGTTGCATGGTGCTATACATCAGTTGAAATGGGTGTATGTATCAAGTTTCTTTGAAATTCATAATGGAGCTCCTCGTCCTAGAATGATTACCACCTGGCCAATTACGCTGGCAGTGGAATATACAGATCTTCTCGATCAAAGAAGGCCCGGGGCATTGATTGTACTAGCGCATTTTAGTGTTCTGCTACACGCTTGTCAAGGATACTGGGCAGTCGGCAATGCTGGGAAATTTCTGTTGGCGGTGGTCGAAACTTATCTTGGTAGAGATTGGGAATCATGGCTGGAATGGCCTAGATCCAGAGTCCCCGAAACTGTTTGAGCTTTGGAGATTCGAATGGAACAAAAACTTGAAGAGTTTAGAAGGATCTCATGAAATATCAGCGCAAGAATGCTTTGGTGCGAATCGCACATAGCGGTAGCCTTCATTGACGCCATTGATTAACATGCAGGACCGAGAGAGTATTTCAATCGTGTCTCTCAAACCGTTTAAACAAATTTAATGGAGATGCCATAAATCAGAACCAGTGTGGTTTCCTCGATTCAAATACCATGGATAAAAGCCATATGATCAGGTAGAATCTCTCTTTCTTGCCAAAAATAACAACAATATCAAAAACATAATATAACTTGCTAAGACAAGCAGACCATCCATGCAGAATACAACCCCCCTATTCACTTCACTCCATATCCACCCAATCCAACAACATCCAGAGCGAAATACACATTCTCACCGTCACATGCCTTCATCAAAAATCATAATCGCACTCGATCTGACCGGGTTGGTAGCTTCTGCGATCAAAAGTGGGTCCGGGGAAGCCAAGCTCCTACCGTGGGGGTTTGAACCCCTACAATTCGTCAGGATTGACAATTCAGCTCGGCGTTGATCAATTGCGACAAACCGATGTCTGGTGCCTTGGAGAGTGTAGGATTTATATTCCTTTTGCAGTTTTGATTTTTGTCTGGAATGAGGATGAACTCTAGCAATAACTTGTTCGTCGGCTGTTCATAGTGACGACGCATCCTAGGTGGCTGGTAGCATTTTTTTCCTTGAGGTGTAGCCGATAGATACTTGTGCTGCCGGCAAGCATTCGCCTCTGAAGGTATATGCGCATACCACAAGATAGTAAACTACAAAATAACTAAAAGCTGGTTTTCTTAACAGCGGAGTCGCACACTTTCTACTCGTAGCCGCATGAGTGCCTCCCCAGGTCAATCAAACCACACATTACTTGACTATTTTATCTTGGCCAGTAAGTAAAAACCTAGTTACAATATTCAACCCCTTGTAAGGACAGCAGATCTCTGATACGTCAAAGGTATTCCGGCCCCCTAATATGCTCTATCATATGGGGTCCGAACAAAGTTATAAACAAACAAGGATAGCTTATCCACCACGTTCGTAAACTACTTTCAGCAAGTTGCGCCGCAAAACCACCACTCTTACCACTGTGTAGATATCTCGATGTTTTTTCAATTTGCGAACAAAACACCACTCTGGCGGCCGCGGCGTACATATAAGATCGTACCAAATCCTTCAGCTGGAGATCGAAATCCCTGCAGAATCCTTCGAAGCATCGTGAATAGACCAGTCGCATCAAATGTCAGATCTTAAAATACCATAGTGCGGCGAAAAATCTATTTTGGAGCCGCATTTTGTCGTCTGATCTGTAGGTAGTAGACGTAGCCTTACTATCCCAGGGCTAGAATTTCATATATATTGTTGAAGATTCTGTTTTGATATTGAGTCCTCAAGTTTCAAACTTAAAGTATTGAAGAAGAGCAATTTACAACATATCGTGGTTTCCCAACAGACAAAATGTCACATACTTATTACGATCCCATAAATGACTCTCCCCAAATCGAAATGACTGGTTCCATACCCACCAGCATACTACGGCCCTCTCCACCCACTCAAATCTCTAGTGATAATTTTTCCCACTCCAACAGCGCCGCGACCTTACTTCCTCACGAGCAGGATTATGCACAGTTCGAAAGTCATTTTCAAACACCCGAACAATCTTTTACCACCGGCCCTTATAAATCCAAGACCGGAAAACAATTTCGGCATATTCTGTTAAAAAGTTTGGCACGATGGTTCATTACGCTGGTTTTGTGTATTGCGTATTTCTTGACGTTGACGTTCTGGAATAATAAGGGTACGGTGACGGAACGTTCCAAGAGGATTTTCAATGCGACTACCACAGGCATTAGTATTGCTCTGGGTCTCAATATTGCTAGTTCGTTGAAAGGTATGGCGTTGAATGCGCGTTGGGCAATTTTACATGCTAGCAAGAGAAATCTTTACGAAGTAAGTGGAAAACAGTCAATTCAGAAATTTGAGTAACCGCTGATGGAATAGTAGCTTGACCTTACTTTACACGCGGATAGTTTGATGGATGTTGGAAAATTGGCGTTTGTTTCGAAGAGACCGATGGTTTTTGGTATGGCTATCTCGTGGTTGATATTCAATATCGTAGGTTATCATATCCCCAATTAGAAGAGGAAGTGAACTAATGGATAATAGTTTGTACAAGCAGCTCTTGCAGCTATTAGTCTAACGTATGGTTTCGAAACCAGCTCAGAAAGTTATCTATTCACACCCGGCAATGTCATAATTCCAAATATGAAGAATTTCTCCAATACCATCGACGCCCAAGCCGGAGATGAAGAATACACAGCTCATGCTTATGGGGGTTTAGCTTGGAATCTCGGAATCGGCAGCTCGATTGAACATCTTCCAGCCCAAGGAGATATCTACCTAGGACTTACCAGCAACTATAGCATATGGCAAGACAAACCCAACAACAAAATGGTTTTTGTATTCACCGAGTCCTCCACTTCCGCATCCACCCAAAAGGCAGGTTCATTGAGCGTCTACACTAACAGAACCCTCGAAATGCATTACTCCTGTTCCTCCTACGAAGTCACGTCCATCAACAATGAAACCGGCGAAATCTACATCAGCAACCGTGACACCAAACCCGTTTACATAAGTTTATATGCCCCCAACGCCACCACCTTCTTCACCGTCGACGACTATCGCTGTCCGGACACTTCCCGCTGTTCCATCATCCAAGCCCTTGAAACCAGCGACGTCCACCAGCAATGGTACTACACCTGCAACATCACACTCTCCGAAACCTTCAACGACGAGAAAAATATCTCATACATCAGCGACGAAATGTCGTGGTTCTCCGCCGGCGCCATTGCAAACACCGGATACCTTAACGATACCTTATCCTACCCGCAGACAACCACCTGGGGCCGCCCCATGAACGGCAACGAAACTGAAATCGGAATACAAATCACCGCCTTTGCACTGACCTCCCTCTCCTTAGCCGCAGCCTACGGCCCCTCGACCTCCTATCTCGGATCCGAGCCACACAGCGGTTTCGCGCTCGAAATAAACCATACGCATTTTTTCCTGCTCATTGTGGTTCTCGCCCCCCTGGTGCAGTTTGTGATGTGTTTTATGGTGGCCGTGTGGAGTAATTACGTGCAGGTGGGGGATGATGCGTATATTGGGATGGGTTTGCTGTTGAGACCGATTGCGGATGCGCTTTTTCGGGTGAGTGAGGGAGTCGATAATAGGGCGTTTGCGGAGGCGAAGGAGAAGATTTTGGTGAGGTACGAGAGGGGGGGGATGGGAGGTGGGGGTTTGCGATGAGTTGAGTTGATTTGGGGAGGGAGAGGGGGACCATGATATATATTTTTTTATTTTTATTGATAGCGGGTTCGGGAAGGGAGGTTATGAGGATAGGTTTTAATGATGTGGAATGATTGGAATTTTGGAGGGACGTAATGACATGAAATAGGGTGGATCGATTCAATTGTGATATTACACTGTTGGTCTATAGAGACTGCTAATGTTTTTTGATAGCTTTTATACATGATATACAGTATCCATACAATGAACAAATCATATGAGAAATTCAGATATTGTACATAACTTCTATTGTCCACCATTGCTGAATGTTGAGTTCGTAGTACAAGTCATTTGAATGACACAAATATCCCATGCGCGATCTCTTCTCCTACTATGCGCCCCAAGCCCTCACTCTCAGAATACCACACAAGGCAGTGACCAAAAAATGCCGCATAAGAAATCAATCAAAGATGACTGTCAAAAGTCACTTAAAGCGATGCTCAACACCATAATCATCAATCCCCAATGTTGAAGTCGCAGACACAACGTAGCACTGATTTTCTGGTGTCCAAATATCAAATCCAGGACGTCCGTAGGTAATTGGTTGAGTTCCATCCCAAATATCCTCCATTTCCAACCTAAACTCACTTTTTTCTCTCTTTTCGAACAGTCTAACCTTTTCCATGAAGCAATAGCCTGCATAAAATGCCAGAGATGTGTTTCCAGATTTTGGTCCGTTTTTTGACATGAAGGATTTGAGCTGTGCGGGCGTCACTTTTTGGTCGTCGAGTGATTTGGATAGTGCGCGGCAAAATGCGGCTTGACTAACACTTGTTTGATCCAAATACTCTCTGATTTTTTCTCGAAGTGAGTCGCAAGTATCGTATACCTCAATCGCACCATACTCTTCATCCTCATCATCGTCCAGCCCAATGTTCGCAATAAGATCCATTAGATCCTCATTCTGAATGTTTCTTTTCTTCTTTTTTGGTAAGCCCTCGTCTTCTCCACCAGAAGTCCTTTTAGTTCCCGATGAGCTTGTTCGCTTAGTTTTTCCATTCGAGCTAGCGTCATCTCTTCTCTCCTTCTCCAATTCTCGCAACAAGTCCCAACTTCTTCGACAAACTTCATTCTGAATTCCCTCCTCTTTGGACATGCCAGGGGCGGAAACCATGAACTCATCAAAATCTTTTTTCGAGACGCCGATTAAGTCGCAAAATTTGTAGCCAAATCTCATTAAGTCATAGAGGTAAATTTGTAACTCGAACTGGACTGTTGAAGGAGTATATTTATATTCTTCGTTCCCGAATTCCTTTTCGTCTGCCATCAAAATGCTTCTAAGCTTTTCGCGACAACGCTTTGTTTCTTGGTCTGTAAGAACAGATTTAGTTGTCTATGTAATGTTAATAAATGAGGGGATTGTTGGTGTGATTAAGATACATACTGGGTTTGAGCTGGATTTAGAGGTGGACACTATGGTGGAAGTGTTTTCGGATTCGATAACAGCATTCTCGTTCTCGCCAGATCGATTGCGCCGGCTACCGGTAGCTCTTCCATTGGAATTTCTACCTGCAGCTTGAGAACCCGATTTTGACACAACTTCTTCATCCAAATCGACATTACCGATACTGCGATCATCCCGAGTCTCGATATTCTTACTGATTGGCAGTTTGTCGGAGCTTTGCGATGAACTTCCTACTTTAACAGCAGCAGGTCTTCTGTTTCCAGGAACCTCTTTCTCGGGGTTTCTCGATACAATGGAACCTCTTTGGGGAGCGTTCTTCTGCTCTTCAAGTGCATGTTTAATAAAGTCTTGTACCTCTCGACGCAGAAGGGCATAATCCGGTGCTTTGGTTCGATCCGAATACTTAAAAGATGCATTAACACCCATTTCAGGCACACCTAGTAGCATCCATTCTCTATACAGCTCATGACTTAGACGACAATACTCCAGTTCCATATCTATTAAATAATCATACTTTTTGATATCGATCGCAGTATTAGCACCTTTGGTTTTGCTTCCCTGTTCATTGTTAAAATGAATAAGAATGCAGCTTGCATGCGTGTATTACTTACTTTCATCATTGGCAAGATAGAACTTCGGTCTTCAGAAGGAATTGATGCATTGGGCGTTGCTTTTGCCAGAGGTCTTTTTGATCGTGGCATTGTCTGATCGATTCTGTGTGAGATAATTGACCGTTTGTTTACATCACTATTTCAAAGGTTACGCGACGTGAATATCAATATGTGACAATGCGTAAACACTTCTATTTAATACCTTATTTGTTCCACTGGCAGCTTCCCAAATTGATTCAAAATTGGGTGGCTGATACTCTTCAATTTGAATCAAAATATTCAATAAGTTAGATAAATAGGTGAAGTTGAGAAATGCAGCAGAACAGCAATTCACGAGGTGTACATTTAACAGCCCGTAGTCATTGTCACATGACCTCACCAAAATCAAGTCACCAATCTTACTAGACTTTACTCGGGACGCAGCTGATAATTCTACACAGTTTGTTTCAAACTTTCTATCGCCCTATTATAAGTCGCATAGAGATGAAATGGAAATGGATCAACACGCTGCTCAAAGACTTCTCGCAAACGCTCTCAAAATTGTAAAAGATCGAAATTATCAGATGTAAATTTTATACATAGGACAACGCGTGTGAATGTGTTACACGGTATTAGTAAGCAATTAGACTCGCCAAAAGCGGTGAATACTTAAAGTGGTTTTTGACACGCGCTGGGAGTTTGTCGCGTTTTCTGCCTAATTAACTTTCACTGGCCAGGTTCACCAAGTCAAATTCTCCAACGCGAGTATCTGCAGGACAAATTACAATTACCAAAAACCCTTTCCGGTGTTCGAGTATTTTCTTAACGAATAGAAGATGGGTTTCGGTACAGCTGCTATTTCATCTTCACGATAGCTGCGATCTTGCAGTCATGGTACCGCCATCTTCAACTACTGCAAAATCAATTAATCCTGAGCCGAGACCTTCAACTCCTTCTGAGCCTGAATCCAGTGAACCTCGACATCCTTGGTTCCGATTTTTCTTGAATTCAAAAGATAAATCACCTCGAAAGCCTAAAATCAACACTCCAGACTCATCTGCGGATCTCATCAACACACCATCGACGAGCAGGAAGAAAGTAGGCTGGTCAGAAAAGTACGATTACAAAGATCCTCCTAGAATTATCACCGATCGAAAGACACTATCTGCACAAGCTCTATCGCCTTTGACACCATCAGCGGAGCGAAAAGCGACGAAATCAATACTGAAGACACACCATGTTCCTGACCCTACACAAAATATTGTGCCTTCCAAAGGCGACGACACGACATTAACCTCAAAACCTTTGATGGTCGATGCTAGAATGTTGGAATCAATATCGAAACAATTAGCTGGGAAAGACAGGGGATCGAAGCTAGATGCATACACGACCTTATCGGGCGCCTTAAAGGCTTGCGACAATGTTCCGGACCGAAAGGCTTTATCGGACAAGATGGATTTGATACTTCAATTCATGAAGCGGGACTTAAATGCCAAGCTTGAAACTGGAGCTCTTGATACCCAACTTGCGAAAGAGGCTTTAGTACTTATGTCTAGCTTTCTCTATAAGAAGTCAATCGCAGATATGTTGACCCCCGAATTCAATGGCTATATTGTGGACTACGCCTTGAAGACTTTTGAGAATCCTGGAATGTCGAAGGAGGTTGTCAGACATCTGATGTTTATAATTGCACAGCAAAAGTTCTCGGCAAGGATCATGACAGCTGATAGGGTTACAAAGCTGATATCTGCGATTCATAACATCGAGGATTATGTGCGAGGCAAAAGCATCGTAGAACAGCGCATCAACATCTACCGAACTTTTCTTAGGCAATCCAGAGCTCATATGATTTCTAATTCAGACTGGCTTGGGGATCTCTTCAGCGATATGCTCAACAGCTATTCAAATATACAGACTGCTGCTATTGCGTTTGGTGAAGAGGCTGGCCTTGAACTCGGGACGGAGAGCAAAATATCCTCAAAAGTCACAGAGATCTTCAAAGGGTCGGATGGAAAGGATGTCAAGTATGTTGACTTTTTTGCCGAGAGACTGCGAATTATGGCAAAGAAACCTTCAAGCTCTACACCACGTATATGGGCGGCCGTCATATTATTTCTCCGTGCTCGACCTAAACAGCTAGAGCACTGGGCCTTTATCAAGACATGGCTCGACGTAATCAAAGTCTGCTTCAATTCCAGTGACCAAAACACAAAATTAGCGGCAAATCTGGCATGGAATCGCATGATTTTTGTGATAACTCTAGAGGAAAAGGTCTCGTTTAGTATGATTAACACACTTAGCCAACCCTTGATCTTACAACTTCCAAGAAAAGATGTTCGTAAAATCTCAAACTCCGACAATCTGCATCGCAAGTCAACTCTGAGCAGTATATGCAATTTATTTTATTACTCGGTGAAGCCAAATACAACCCAAGCCCAGCTTGATACATTTTGGGATACATATATAATTCAGATCGTTCGAGACAAACTCATTCCCACTGACTTCGTGGAAAATCCTGCGTTGGCCAAGCAAGATCTGGGTGACGCGTGCAATATCCTTTGTGGTTTGTTCAACGCTCATACCCAACGGCCGTGGATACCAACCAGGGCTCTGAATGATAATGCTGTCACACCTCGAGAGCTTCCAGGATTTGATCCGCGATGGCTACGTAAAAGCGCATCTCGAGTCTTCTCTGTTCTGAGTCCACTTATGGAGCTGCTTTTTTGGGAGCTTGCTCTCCCTAAAAGCAGAATATCACTTCTTTGGGAAACTTACATTTTCTCAATCTCATCCGCAGCGGCAAAAGAGGTCAAGACCTCGAATGATACCATGTCATGCCTTGCTTTTCTTTTCAGCACATTGTACAAAATTTGGCAAAAAGGACCAGATGGCTTGCATACATTGACATCTCATCGCAAAAACGAAGCAAACTTTTTGGCTAACTTTCAAGTGATTGTAACTACTGCTATAAGTGGTTTGGGGGTATTACCATTTACCGAAAGGCTTCTATCCATGGGGCAACAAGATGATTTCATTGTCGTTGCGACCCCTTCACATCGACCCGGAAAAACAAAAGGCGACATTAGATCACCACTTCATCATCTATTGCTTCTAATTTCTAGCCCTCCTCTCGGCTTTAAGCATGGTTTAAAATTCTCAGAAATGGCCGAAGCGATACTTATGCCTTTTTTCGAAACTCGACGTTCGAGTAAGGGTAAAATGGATTTGGTCAAGGACCTTCTAGAAATTCTTCCTACGGATGTTAATGAGTCGTGCGGAGCTCTTTGGTCAATTCTTGCAAAACTTGCTACAGCAGCAATAAATTTTCGAGACGACGTTGTCGTGACCAGCACCATTCATGATTCCCGTCCCCTTGGCGCCGAATATCGCAGTGTTGCAAGAATTCTCGACGTCGGGATTGACCTATCACCAAAGGAGCCTTTGAAAGGATGGGAAGATCTTTTTCAAGCTTTGGTAACATCTGCGACCACTGACTCGGGGCACGGAGGCAGAGCCATCGTTGTTATTGAGCCAATAGCCAAGGCTTTGGCCTCAAATTGGCGATCGGATGACGATTATTGTGGTAATAAAGTAGTATACTGCCAAATCCTAGTCAAAGAAGCATCATATCCGAAAGACCGACAAGCCTTGGATGCAGCTCGGAGGCGTCTTTGGGGAAGTGCAACTGCTGGTCCAAAAATCCACATCTTCGATCCGTATTTCCAACTATACCAATATATTTCTCGGTGCTTGAGATGTTCATATACGGAGCTTTCATCTAATGATCATATCACCATATGTGGTCTTCTTGGTGAGGTTGAAGCGCTTTTAGTACGATGTCCAAAAGTTTTGTTTGGCGAAACTTTGACTCAACTTCAAAATGGGATTATTTGCTGGATAAGCGACGAAGAAGCAAAACTGCATGGTGGAAGTGATTTATCCCGATCCGTAAGTTGGTGTCACCCGATCAATCAAATAGCAATGCTAATTATGTAGGTTAATTCTCTCTGGAATAAAATCTGTTCATTGTTGAGTTCTACTGATCTATCAAAAAATTTGAACAATCTTGAACCATTATTGTGCGCTGGCTTAGGAAGCAAGCGTGTGTATATTGCAAACTCAGCCATAGAAATGTGGAAGGATGCATTTGGTTCTTTCAAGGGTGACTTGCAGTATCCTCCCATGGTAAAAGAAGTCTTGTCTAGGGTCCTCCCGATGACGGACCTCTCCCTTGCATCATTATCCGAGAGCTCCGAAAACCAAATATCAAACAATCATCGTCAACTTCTCGATATCCTTGATACACAGACAGACATCAACATTTTTAATGAAGTCAATCTACCAAAAATTTCGAACAAAGCTCCTTCTTCCATTGTGATTCAAGCACACAAACAAAAATCGATAAATTCATCTCCACGAGTTATTGAAGTCAACAAGGCGGGATCTCGAAAGAGGTCTCGTGAGACAACCCCGGAACCTGGGAAGAGGAAGTCAAGAAAGAAGGGTTTCGTTGCTAAATTACGACATGACGACTCCCAAATTCAGTTCGAGGCGATTGCTGGCTCCTCTCCCTTTTCGGAGACAACGTATGACTCACAACTTTTGACCGAACGGCAGAAAGAGGTTAGAGAAAGACAAGCTGAAGAAGCAGCCATGTTCTCAGATATCAGGTCTAGCCCTCACCTGAGCTCAAAGCTAACTCCCAAACATGTCGATAATGACATTGAACTACCTTCCCGTCACTCTGCTTCAAAGTTACTCTTAGAAACGCCAGCCAGTAGTGAAAGGCAGAGCACACCTGATACTAAGATTGTCGAAAATCAGGATATGTTCCTAACATCATCGCCGACTCCAGCACGCCATGTACTTTCATCAAAAGATGTCTCTCGCTCTCCTTCTTCGCCAGCTATAATGGTTGATTCACAAAAGCGTCAGATCCAATTACCTAGAGATAGTGATATGGCAATCACGTCCTCCCCACCCGAAGCTAAGACAAGGAACAATGTGCCGCGAGACGCTGTGAATATAGGCCAGAATGACTTTGAGCAATCGCCTTTACCGTCATATCAATCAATTTACCAAAGTACTTCGATGCTCCCCACTTCTTCCGACGAATTCAATGTCACCTCGTTTCCTAATAATTTTCCGGATGAGATTAACAACAATGTGACCACCAATCGCTCATTAGATGCTCCTACACAAGTCGATCCATATGATTTTGATTTGGGCCAAACCATGTCTACGTACAGAAGTTCGCCTAGAGATTCAGATCTGGATGAAGATATGGACGCAACTGTTGAACTTACTAGTAGCGAAGAGCAGGCTAGGGATGAAGAGCTTCAGCAAATATTTGCTGACCATAAAACTAGCAAAGCTTGGAGTGTCCAAGTTGCTGAGACCTTTATGGATCCAGTTAAAAACGAGAGGGCAATCCTACCATCCACCCCAAGACGAAGCCGACGTGGTGCAGCAGCGATGCTGCCAGCTCCAAGCAGCTCCAAAGGCTATGATCTTGATGCTAGGCCAAGTGTAACACATTCGGACAGACCCACAAATGACGAGGAGATTTTCGAAGATGCTACATCGTCTCCACGAGGACTGCCACCCAGGATACAAGAGTTGTCAATGACAAACACTATGCTTAACAACAGTTCTTCTCCTCTGAGCGATATTGACGAATCTAGCTTTATCAAACTCGCAAAATCAGTGGATCGGGCGTTAGCTGAGAACCAAGGTGGAGTTCTTCGTCAAACTCACGCATCTGCAGAATTAGCTACTGTCTCTGTTCATGCCGAGCCCATTCGCAAAATTCCGAGCCCAAACCGTCGGTCTCCAATACGTCCTGTGTCTCAATCATCGGCTATTCAATCTGTCATTCTTGAGACTCCGGCACCACAGCTTTTAAACAGGAATGGAAAAGAGAACGCGTTACATGGATCCGTGGCTGATGACTCTGACTCCGGCTCTATTACTAGTGCAGCACCTCATGCAGGGCAGCAGCAGGCGCGTCCAACCAATACGATCAAGAGTCCAAAGAGATTCAATAAGAAGAATACGCCAAACAAGTTCAAGGTTGAGGATAAAACTAGAGGCGATGGTGATGGTGATACGCCAGCGAAGAAGCGAAAATTCGACGAGACCCTTGAAGTTGGCAGTGCGGTGGTTGGCAGTCAAGAGGCATCTCGAAATGGTATGTGTAACATTCTCTTTACATGAAATGAAAGAATACTAACTGATCGTACAGCTTTATCAGTGCCACCAATAAAGAAGAGAAAGGGTCGTCCCGCGAAGACACCAGAGCCTGTTGCAACACAAAGTATTTCCGAAGCCCAATCTGCTCAGTCTCAACGATCTGGACGAGCCACTCGGAGAAATACACGATCGTCAAGGGCTAAGACTATTCTTGAAAACAATTCAAGCATGAGTGTATCGAGAGAATTCAGTTCTGTCCCAGATATCACTGAGACCGGTTCGTCGGTAATCGCCAACGACCGCCCTACTATGCCAGTTTCTAGTACTGAAGCTGTTGATGGTATCACTCGCAATGATTCAGAGCATGCGGGAAAAATTAGTCCAGTACTTGAGCAATTCGATGAACCGGAGCTAGATTTTGTGGAGGAAACTTTACTACAATCGCAAATAGCTGAGGAGATGGAGTTCGGATCACAGAAAGCCAACGATGATCAACAGGCGGAAATAGTCGAGCCTGCTACAGCCGCTCCCACATATCAAACTATCAAGGAGAGGCTACTGAGCTTAGTTAGGGATCTTGGCGATGCTGCTCTGAATCGAGAGGAAGGAAATGAAGTAGAAGATATATTTATGGATGCAAAAGTCCAATTGTATGGAGCAATCAGGCGAGGAAGACAATCGGCTGATGATTGAGGACATTTGTATTGAGATGGCGTTTGCTTTGGCTTGTGGTTGGCTAACAAATGTCACATGAAGACATACATGACATGATTGCATGGAGGAGTTTTGGTGGATAATTTGTAGCTTAGATACCAGAAATAATGCCAATTATGTTGCACGTATGAACACTTTTTAGTTCATCGTTCCCCATAAGTCTTAAACTATCCATGAATTAGATCGTAAATAAGAACAAATATGATTTGCCCATGATACCTTGTAGTCATCAAATGATCGGTCAGGAAATGATGTATTTGTAGTCCCAGTTTGATGTAGATTCGCCCTTTATCTTTGCCCTCTACGTATTATTGCATTTGATCCATCTAGCCCTTGTCATTACACATGAAACCAAATGATATTTACCTACCGGTACACAGAGAAGTATCTCTCCGAATTCTTCGCCCTCAAATGCCCTCTGGTCCATTCCCATACATGAATTCTAGACCAATCATCATTTAGCCTGATCTGGTCCTTGTTGATGATCAGCTCCGCTTTTAGTCTGATATTCATTCGCCGCTAATCTATTTTCAGCTCCTTCATCTTGGATACCCTGGTCACTCTTTCTTGTTTCAGGTTTCTCGCTTACATCCCACATTTCGGTGTGGTGTACTAGATTGTCTTAGGTAACTCCCGTCAATTGGTACCTCTAAGACTCGTCCCTCACTCCAACACTTTACACCGCACCTGAATAACTTCATAAGTGACTCTTCTTTCAGCCTATTATACACAGCTGGTACAACTGCACTATACGTTTGTTTCATCCCGTCTGCAGTTACACACACAGAAGTATAAATACATCGAAATATCCCACCTGGTTGATAAGATCTCATCCATACCTAGCTTCTTTCATCGATCAAATTACCCCTCATTTGATCTAACAATCTCCAACTCAATCATCCACACAAAAATCTCAACAATGGACCGACCCAAGAAGCCATCTGCTCTCTCTGCCACTCCAGGTCTCGCACCTCATGCTCAAATAAATACCACTCATTCCAATTCCCGTGTCTCCGCCGTTCTCCCCACCGGAGAATCAGTCGAGATCCTTCTTTACGGCGCCACAATCATAAGCTGGAAAGATGCTGCCGGGACCGAAAAACTCTGGCTTAGCGAAAAAGCGGTGCTCGATGGTACAAAGGCTGTGCGTGGTGGTATCCCTCTAGTGTTCCCGGTGTTTGGAAAAGTAGAGGGTGAGGAAGGTAAAACTAAGGGTGTCGATACATTACCTCAACATGGTTTTGCGCGCAATTGTAGATGGGAGTTCTTAGGAAAGAGTACTAGTGAGAGCAGTACTGTTAAGGGACAAGAGGGTGGTGATAGCAGTGTAAAGTTGGACTTTGGTCTGAGTGCTAGTAATGTACCTGAGGAGACAAGGAAGTTGTGGGGTGGCGAGTTTGGTTTAATTTATAGTGTTACACTTGGTAGAGAAGGTCTTGGAACGAGTATGGTGGTTAGAAATGAAGGTACTACAGTTTGGGAGTTTCAGATTTTGATGCACACTTATTTGAAGATCCAGGTATGTTTATTTACACTGATCGATCCGCAAATGTTCTATGCTAATGTACAATCAACAATAGGATATTTCCCAAATCTCCATCACAGGTCTCGAGAATGCTACATATGTCGACAAACTCACCGAACCAATTTCCACAAATACCGCTCCCACCGATCCCCTCACAATCTCCGCCAAAACCGATCGTGTCTACACTCCTGCCGGCGGTCCATCAACTGAAATAATTGTTTCTGAGGGAGGGAAAAAGAAATACACAGTCGCGAGAGACAACATGAACCAAGTTGTTGTTTGGAACCCTTGGATCGATGCCAAGGATATCGGCGATTTTGCTCCAAAAGATGGATGGAGAACCATGATCTGTGTCGAGGCTGGATCTGTTAGTGGATGGCAAAAATTGGAGGCCGGAGAAACTTGGGAAGGTGGACAAATTATCACCCTTGCGAATTAGCAATTCATGAGTGCGATGAATAAGCTATCACGAATGTGATTGTGCTTGCAAGTTTGTGGGCATGTTTTGGACTGAACTGGGAGTTAGTTTCTCTATTCGAGCGAGTTGAAACTTGAGAGCGCTACTCTATGTTATACAATGCAATAAATGCATTATTTGATGAAAAGAGAAATCTCAATCGCCTTGCTTGGTAGAAATCTCATTAGATAAATGAATCAATTGATTACTAAAGATTTCTAGAATTCTACTATCGTTCTCAAGGCAAATGTGTACTCTTTGTATTTGACTGCAGTCATTTTGAGACATAGAGTAGTATTCATCGAATTCCTAAGTGGGCAGCGTGGAAGGCTAAGAACTCATAGTGAGAGGATACATAGTGCCAAGCCTTAATGCTTGAAGTATTTCGTGGGTAGCCATGATCAAGCCTTTGGCTATCTTAACGGTACCATCTTTTGCGCATGGCATCACTGTACTGAGATGGTTTGATCAGCCCCGACACCGTTACAGAAAGCCTATTGTAATCTTAAGCCTGAAGATTTCCTTTCAATGCGCCGACGAGTCGGCAAGGTAGCGACCAAACAATACACCCCCGACGAAAACGCCAGCTAACACACTCAGGAAATATCCGACATTCATGGTCATTACCGCAATCATTCTTAAAAAGTGTTAGCACATCTGTTACTAACAAAGTTCTGAGAGTGGTGTTACGTACAATAGATATCCCACGCCCGCAAGCACGACATCAATCAATCCTAACAAAATTGCCTCTCTTGCCCGCCATTGACGTCGCATCGACTTCTCCTCCCGGTGCGGTTCATAGGCTATACCACCGCTGCGGCGGGTATCGGCAGCAGCCAATAGCTGATAGAAATGTACTCGGACAGCCAACAGTGCTCGAAAGATTGCCGCAAATACGATCAGGAAGATGCATGTGCCGGCGTAATGGCCAATGGTGCCCGGTGTCCAATCCATTGAGTAAAGAGGTGTGGTTGAGGAGATGAAGAATGTCATTGCCATAGAGTCCATAGTCATCATCGTATCGGACGACATTGACATCGAAGAACTAGTCGAGCTGGCCATCGACATGCCTGACATTGTGCTGGTTGGTGACATTGACATGGCCATTGAGCCTGTTGAGCTAGCCATTGACATATCCATAGTTGGCTGAGTTTGCAAAATATTCGAATTTGCAAAGTGTTTAATAGATGTTTCGTTTTTACTACTTAAAGACTTTTATTGTCATCCGTCGTAAGACGCCCATTCTCGACACAATACCATTTACCCAGTTATCCTTGTCGTAACTCATCGATGAATTTTCTCGATTCGGAAGAAAACTTGCTCAAATTCCCTAACATCTTTCTTTTCATTGGCGAGTGTCTATGGGACTTGTCTAGGAATGGAAATTTGATCAATTTGCGCGAGTTTGAGTAAGATATTACGCGCGCTAAAAAACTCGATTAACTAATTGTTGCCTTCGCTACATCTACATTGGACGAGTCGTTATTCTCCTAATTTAGTGGGTTAGGAAGCTTGAAAGTTGCTGATGCTACTTGACAATCACATTCCTTGAATTTCTAAGCTTTTGTTGTTCATGATTTAAAATCGTTGGAAATAACTCCACAGTATTTCAGACCAGGACAACAAAACACCAAGGCAGCCTTAACATTGTCGCAAAGAAAACGAAAACAAAATGGCTGCATGGATATATCAACCTGTTATGTTCGAGTCTGGTCGGGCCTTCGATTGTGAAGGCTTCGATTCCGACCAGTGCAAGTATTATAAAGAACCATGGCGCAATTGGTGAGCCCTATCCCTTATACAAGATACCACTCAGCACGAAGAAGTTAGATTGACAAGTGCGCCAGGTATGTAGCAGATCTGAGATTCGCACTGCCAACAGTAGCACTCCTTATGTGCATTATCGGCATTTTCGTAGTCGGTTACGTCTTAACACAAGTGCTTGCTTTGTCCTACAGGCCTGAGCCTTTGATATGGCGAAGGGGCGTCGCATTGATTCGATATTTGTCGTACCGAGGTTTTCGCATCGAAGCTTTAAGGTGGAACTCTGCGCCTGTGGGAGTGCTATTGCTAGGAGCTATAGGGACCTTATATTTTCTCTGTAAGTGCGATGCTGATTTGCAACTGGTCGAAGAAACATGGACTGACCTCTTTTGAAGGCATGGACTTGATACCATCCCCATACTATTGGCCGGGTACGAGCACCGTTTGGGGCAACTCGCCGCCATTAGGTACCAGGTCTGGCTGGCTGGCGCTAGCTTGTATGCCTTTCGTCTTGTACGCTCATCTATTAAACGATACGAAACCAGACTAATTATGCGTAGTGCGACTGCAACCAAGACGAATTGGATAACAATGGTGACCGGAGTACCATATGAGAAGCTCCAGGTCTTTCACCGGTGGATTGCATATGCTTTCTTCATCCTGGCGTTGATGCACACATTCCCATTTATCGTTTGGCATATTCATAATGGCGATATGGTCAATCAGTTTACTGTGAGTAACATCTTCGAGTATTGGACTGGCATTGTTGCGCTTGTATTTCAGGCGTGGCTCACATTTGCATCTTGCGGTCCTATCCGGTAAGTAACCTTGATATAAGGACATTCCACAGACGATTAATCACTCACTAGAAATCTTGGCTATGAGTTTTTCAAAGCAACACATTTCTTATCGGCTGTAGTGTTCATGGTAATCTTTTTCTGGCACTGCAGTGGTACACTAACATCATGGTATGTTCTGTGAAGCTAATTTTACCTTCAAGAGTTTCCTAACAAACTGATAGGGACTATTTTGTCGCAACAGCAGCAGTGTACGTACCTTGTTGGACGTACCCATGGCTTAGGACCTTGTTTGAGTACGGTACACATCAGAAAGCAGAAATCTTCATTGAAGATAATGGGTTTACACGTATTACAATACCAGCCAACTTCAAATGGCAACCGGGACAACATTGTTTCTTGCGGTTCCGCAGCTTTGGCATCCATAATTTAAGCTCTCATCCATTCACCATCTGTTCGCTACCATCTATATCACTTGATAAACCGTCCGAGATTACTTTCTATATCCGCCATCAAGGAGGCTTCACGGCAAGGCTATACAATCATGCAATAAAGCGCCCAGGTATACAGGTGCCTGTGTTTGTCGATGGTCCTTATGGTGGTATAGACAATCAGAGATACCTCAGCAGCGATCGTCTTGTTGTGATTGCTGGTGGCTCAGGGGCTGGATGGATGCTACCCTTCATCGAGCAATTCCTACGGCTTCGCTCTTCAGAGGGGGTTCCGGAACCTCTGACTGATGAAACAAAAGAGAATAGACAAAACTCTGTCAAGACATCACGTCAGCGAGACCCTCGCAGCCCACGATCACTGCGGGTAATACTATCAACACGAGACATAGCGACCCGCACATGGTTGCACACAACCTTCAACAATATGCTATCAGACTACCAGTCGCTAGGAACAGGCATAAGTATCGAGGTACATCTGACTGGCGAAGCTGAGCCTATGATACAACCTCCAATCGAATCTGCTCGAGAGCTCGAAAGGACCAATATTTCACCGACAGAAAAAGACACCATCGAGAAGCATACAGAAGCGTTTAGAAACTCCGACGCAAGCGATGGACCGAAAGATGAAGTGCGCGGCCGCCCAGATCTACCTCTGATCATCCGAGAAGAAGCCGCCGCAGCGAGGACAACGGGACAGACAATAGGCGTCTTTGTATGCGGGCCGCTTACGATGCAAGATGATGTCCGCAATGCTGTTGCGAAAGAAAACTTGAGTATCATGAAGAACCCGAGCTCTGGTGGGATGTATTTATATTCTGAACACTTCTCGTGGGCATGAGAGAGGATCGATCAGCAAGCTCGGTATCTGTGATTAGTTTGTAATGGACATTGACTATTGCTTGATCTCTCACTGCTTAAGGTCATTTCTTGTTGGGAAATGAGTATGGCCATTCTACTAGTGACTATGTTGGAAGTTGTGAAACAGATCTATGTCAAATAGCCCAAAGGAGAGGAAGTCTTAATGAATCTTAGGCCAAATTTTTGCTCTTAGTATAGTGATTTACCAAGTTTACCAACTACAAGATTCTAGAGACTACCCGGGACATTCTGTGTTTAGAAATCTAACTCGTTCTGAAGTCAGGGCAAGTAATGATAGGAGTAATCACCAGCATGAGTAAAATTCAGTGCGATTTCTTCCACCCTATCACATTATGTTTTTCTACCTTGTACTTACGAAAACGTAATATGATCAGTCATGGCTGATTATTTGTGACATCGCTTGGCAGGATCCTTGTGAGGTCTTTGTACCAGAAATGCACTCAAATATGCTCCATTCACATGCAACCGAGATTGCCTACTGAAAAAGCTGCGGTCAGTTGATATCCTATTATTGACATTAGCCGTTATGAATAAGATCATTGGCGAAGGAGTCTTATATTGAAGTGTTGAGCTGCATGCTCAGCATGATAGTTCTACTTCTCTTGAATCTCATCATGGATACTCATTATATACCGCTTCCAAAGCGAGGATTATCCTCCTGTGAAATAGACATACCTTGGCACAAATTAAAAGGTCGAGTTTCCCTCATGCTGATAGAAGTTCAACTCATTATAATCATCATCAGTTTATTTCTGGTCGGATATCCTGATGCTACCCGAAAAGCTCTGTGGGAAGAAGGTGGACAACATGGATTTAACTCGGACCCTAAAATGCGCATCTACTTTTATGCAAACTACTTGCAGCCGCCAGAAATCCCTTTTATCTGGTCTCGACGGTATGTTGTATTCTTTTCGATTCATTGACACGCCCTAATCGATACTTCCTATCTTCTTGATTGTAAAAGAGATATCTGACAAAATTATCGAGGTCAGATGTACTGAGTTCAATCTCGCAGCTGGAATATTCACTCTGTGTCTTTTCCTCACCAGACAGTTACTAGCACTGACAGCGTCCATGAGCACGCGGACAGAAGTCTATCTGCTCAGCTGCGTGCTTTTGTTTTGGATCATGAGCTGTATTGGCCAGAGATCACCCGACTACAGTGATCCTGATCATCCAAGTCGAGTGCCATGGTATCTGCACCACAGCTGCAGTATTGCAAGTAGACAAGCCCGAGCTGCGTGCTATGTTGCGCAAGCTTCATATGCTTTAACTGTGGTATTTATGTGAGGAAGTCTCTATCTACGTCAAGAAATTATGTTAAGGACCAATTGCTGATCTTTAAGGACAGATTATGGTACGCTTCGTGGATTCTAATACTGCTTCTATATGCAGTGCTTGATTACAGTATTATAACACGTCATTGGGCTTCTAAATTGTTTCCCAGCCACTCAGCCTCCCAATTTTGTGATGAAGCGGAAAGAGAACGTGGTTCTTCTGATAGCGAAAACCTATTGATGAGGGCCTGGAATGATCTTTGAGAAACGTTATATTTGGAGTGGTAGTTAGATAAAGATGTAGACTGATTTAAAAGATTTGGTGTATGAAATATCATTTATGTGATACAAGGTTATAGGTCGGTCATAGGGAACTAAGTTGTGGCTCAAAGTTGATAAAATGTGTTCAAATAATCTGCTGGCCAATTATAACCAGGTATTTTATAGATTCTCTGACTCCGCAGAAGATGAACTACTGAGAATGAAGTAAACATAGTACACGAGTAAGATATGATTATTGCTGGTATATGTCGACAGGTCATTAGGGATTTGCCTGAATAGACCTTCTTGGTGTGTCTGATTTCCAGATATTCATTGATTCTTTTATCATAGTTTCTATTGGTATTCCACTACGAACATTGAATCCCAGAATCTCATTCGTGTTTAACTCACAACACTTCTCGTTCCCCCACACCTCTATACAGTGCCACCGAATCCGATCAACTTTGGCCATTTCAGCATTTCAACAACTTGACTAACCACAGCAGAAGGTTGCCTCTTCATTATCATTAGATCTGTTCAATTGTCAGGACGTTTTTCAAACCCGTTACGCAGATGGCTAACCTCAAATTTATCGGCTCCCAACTGAACACAAAAGAACCTAGGAAAGCTCCAATTATGATACAGATGATGATGTACCCATTAAAATACATAGCCAGCAACATAACGAAGTAAGCCACTGCAAACTGCATCATATGAAAGAGTGCTCTGATAATCTGTTGCACGAGATGCGGTCGAAAGCTTTGCGTGATTTTTTGTGGAGTAACAATAGTTTGAGTTGACTGAGGACCGGATGCGGCTATCTTGGGATTGATGTCTACGTTAGACTGGATGTGCTGGTGTTGACTCCGTGCTTGACGGACGATAAAGCGATCGTATTCCCTTGACGCTCGACGAAGGAACTCTAGTGACATGACGAGTAGTATCACGCCAATGCAAGAGCCAGCGAACATCCCGTTCGAGGTAATATGCCATGTACTCGAGATGAAACCTACAGAATTATCAATATGCTGCAACAGATAATAGTTTATAGTTTTGTCATCCGTCCACAGGTATAAAAGGTAGGAGAGAGCTTGACGTACACGAGTCAATGGTATACCAGTTCCAAAGCATCTAGATGTAGGTTGTCAGCTATAATTCGTATTATACTGAGAAGAATAGAAAGTAATTGATGGTTCTCTTACAGAAACTTGACATCCGCCTCCCATATCCATGGCCGCAGCGGTGCTTGCTGCAGCCATCGTTCCGGTTGCAGTCGCCGTCGCACCTCCCATATCCATGCTTGATGTTCCCATGTCCATGTTTACTTAATCAGCGTGTCAGTTTGCTTTTCCGCTGTACAATTTTGTTGTATGTAAACACTTTAGGCTTGGTGAAAGAAAAGAAGAAGATCAGACAGCCACCAGTGTTTGAAAGAAAAGCGAGGTTATCAAAATTCTCGCCGCGAGGACATCTATTTCAACCAAGGCAGAATCTTATCGGCAGTTCTGCACCTGGCCAATCGGCTGCCGATTATACTTTGGATGGATCAGATCGGTGCGCTGATTTGAGCAAGATTTGATCGACTGTCGTGTTCTAAACGCCTGTATCAATGGTTCAGATTAGTGCGCTAGTTTGAGCAAGATTTGATTGATTATCGTGTTCTGAACGCCGGTGTCAATAAGACAGCCTTTGGAATACAAGTCCAAGGTCTGAATATAATTGCAGTTTTCGCCAATAAACCGAGCAAGATTCTTGTGACTCTGCCATTGTGGGTCAGGAAAACCTTGTCAGCAACTCCTTCTGTAAAAAATATTCTGAATTTATTCGTTGAGCAAGGGAGGGTCTATGATTTCTCAATGCCTGTGTAGTGTATAACGATGCTCTCAATGCATGCCTAACATGCTTTTGATGAGCACAACTACATGTATTAAGAGGTAATGATAAAGATAGATTTGCATAGAGCGACAAACGAAGAGTGACTTGTGGGTACTTACTTATGAATTATATCGAGACTCCACCCGAAGAAGAAATCAGCCACATCTTTTCTCAAAAATACTTGCCTTAATGTATTTTCAATTGACTGTACAGTCAACTACTACCCTGACCCGAAATATTGAGGTCAAAAACTGAGGATTGACCAGGGATATGTGGATGATGAATTATTACAGGCTTTTGGGTTTCGACTTTCCGGAAACTGAAGTAATTGCGGACATAGAGATATATGACAAGAGATGAAAGAGATGACATACGAAATGTGAGATGTAAGATAGTAAGATGCTATACTCAAAACTCCAGGCTAACTGTTTCAATCTAAAGTCTGCCACTCAGCCATTGTGACGTCTAATCACAACACGTAACACCCGCAGAAATAACCGCCCTTAATCGTCTAATCCGCTAAGCGATCTATTTTCACTAGCAACATGATAATCTAATTTGAACTCCTCGTTGATCTCACAAATCAACCACAACATCCACTGTCCCTTCGCCTTTTAGCCTTTCAACTTCCATCCAGCCTCCCTCTTCAACACCCACAATCAAACCGTCTACACAACATCGTCTCCATTTGAAACCATCTCCGGATTCCTCAAAATTTATCCTTAGCTTCTCGATACTTTCGTATCCAACCTCACCTTTCTGGCCATCTTCATCCCATTGCATACCAATATGATCTCCATCTTTGTATGCCTCTTCCATAACCTTCATTGTTTGCTTACCAGTTGCAGCTCCAAAGTGTATGACTCGTAATTGGCCATCCAAGGGTTTACTTTCAGGAGATATTGTAAAAGTTCGCTCAAGGTTGGACACAAGTACTGAGAGAACATATCCGTGCTCTTTTCTTTGTATGGCTTCTTCCGTACCATCAGATCTGGTCAATGTGACAGAAGCTTTATAAGCGTGTGGTAGAGCTCCATCTTTTGGAAACAATAAATCACCAGCTACCAGGTGAAACCTCTGGTCTCCATGTTTTCTATACTCGACTGTGTCGCTGTCGGCAACTAGAGTTGCATGGAGGCCATAACTGGCGACAACTGCACCGTAGACAATGTTGTTTGTGAGTGGTGTCTCTGTTTGACCTTCGTTCGTAATGGTTCGTGCGCCAGAAGAGAATTTCACACTGAATATTGGAAGCGGTAAAGGGGTACCATGAAGTAATGTCCGTAGACCCTGTATATATATTGACGGAATCGGAGAAGGTCGATGCAAAGAATGGAAGAGAGCATTTCCTGTTCCAAGAGGAAGTTGAGATAATGTCGGTTTTACATACGACCTGTGCATAAGATGTTAGTAGTGAATAGCACAGATAGGCTGTGCGGAGAAGCCCACCTTGATTTTTCTCCACTCTCAAGCAATCCATTTATTGTATCCACCATCCCACCATCACCGCTTAACATTAATATCGATTGCTTTTTACCCTTATTCGCGCCCTCCAGCAATGTTGAGCTTGCAAAGTCCTTTACGGAATCTGCATTATCTGTTCTGATCAAGGTGTAGCTTCCTTCCGGCAATCCGATAGAGCCGAGAACTTGGTGCAATACAGCGTCGTAAAAGTCTGGCGCCAATCCTGTCCCAGACAACGTTGAGATCAAAACGTATATTTGCGTTTCTGCGGAGCGAAGATATGTCGGCAAACTCCTAATCAGATAACTTTCGAGACATTCTTGGGGAAGGTTGGTGGCAGATGTTGTCTTCAACTCAAATGGAAGTTTTTGAGTTCCTCCTTCTGTTGGAAGCAGACTGAAGATTGTATAGCCCAGAGTACCGTTAGGTCCCTCATTCTCCGTAACGCAGATCACATCTTCTCCTTTGATTTTTCCACCAGATATGCCGCCATCAATTCCTACAGCTCCTGACCATGTGAGGTCACCATCCCGATAAGAGAAATGTACAGGGTCATCGGCGAGATAAGCATAGGTAGTAGCACTGCTGTCAGTAACTTCGGTATCATTGTCGGAACTATATGCAGCGTCAGAGCTAGAGGAAGGTATAGAGTTTGCCATCTCGACAAGACGTTGAAATGAACCTGAAGGTTGTTATGGGATGAGATGCCATGATGATAATGTGAGCAATCGCGATTAATTTTTGAACATGGGGGTGTCTCTGTCGTGATAGCAGATGAGGTGCTCGGCTTATTATTTTTAGGTGGGGTTGAACCACCAATAAGGTGCTAAGGTAAGCCGCCCTACATTGTCCTATCAGATTCTCACCTCTCTCTCTCTCTCTCTCTCTCTCTCTCTACCCCGTGCATCGTGGTCCATTACACCAAAATGAATTAGCAAGGCTTTCTGATATCCATTTCAGAATTGGCAGAAAGTGAAGGGGTAAATATCGCTAGATGATCGTTTTCACCAATTTGCCGATCATTTCCAATCTTGCACGGCGTACGATGACCTCTCTTGCAATTCCGGCCAGTGTGTTGTCGATCTTGAACGGTTCATGCAACACCGCCATTTACGCTTATCTGCTATAAGATGTCGAGATCGACTTGCAGCTATATCATGACCTCCTGGCGGACAGGATGGAGATGTGTCAACTAGTTGGGGCATATCGTGTTGCTCACCAAGTCAATAAGTCTATTCCGGTTCAGCAGCATCTCAAGTGAGGATAAATGGGTAAAGATATAACATCAAGGTCGAGGACCTTTCTAATCTTTCGAATCCTCCTCCTTGTTATCTACAGGTTCTTGATGATGGTGTGGATCAGAATTTGTATTGATCGGGATTGAGCTTAGTGTGGTTAGTGTATCCTCACAAAAGAGCGATAGACCTGCTCCTCGTGGTCAGCATTGAGAAATGTCTCAATCTTTGTCGTGGCTTAGGAAGCTCTCCTTATTCTCTCGAACGGGCTCGGCACGGTGCTCTTGTCAGGGAAGCCATGAGCCCCTTTTGAGATGAATGTGTGATTTTTTTGACTTGGAATAGACAGTCTTCGACTTGCAAAGTTCGGTCGATAAATCAAATGCGAAGACTCACAAATAAAAGGCACATATTGACGGGTAACAGATCTGGAAAAAAAAATCAAACTGCGAAAGTTCTTATTAACTTCAAGCTGGTCTTGATCTCATTCCCAGATCAAGAAATACTTTTCAGCTTTTGAAATTTTCTTCTTCTTTCTCAAACCTGTCCACCCCATTTAGCATGCGAGAATGAAGCAGCCAACTCCTAATCTTGCTCCCAAATAGGAGACGCGATCAATACTCTTTGCGAAACCAATTAATACACCCCCAAGACCCTCTCGGGACACAAATCTTCTAATATAGTAGCCCCGGCATCAATTACTTTTGTGGCGTTGATCGAAAGCGCGTAATCGTGAACAATAATTTTGAAGCTGTTACTGTATATAGTTTTCTCGAGACTGGGAAATGAGGCTGCCCCAAACGATTGGCTGAATATAATAAGCGCCGTTCCTATGGGGAGCTGTTTGAGGGGCACAGTTTTTTGAATCGAGAGAATAGGCTACCAGGGAAAAAATAATGTTGTTAGATGGGTAATAATAACGATGGGTGATATCAAGCTCACCATTTGAATCCCAAGACCGCGACCAGCCCCATGAAGGATCTGGCATCCAACCCACTTGCAAATAGGAGTGCTAGGTGAGAAAGCACCAAAAAGGCCACAACCAACCGATAATAAGATTGAAGCGAAAAGAGCCACTGGTATGGTGTCACAAATGGTAGGATATTGGAGAGTGCTAACCATTGAAGCAATATCGTTAAGTAATAGGTACGCATGTCGAGAAATGAGTCAAATTGGCCATAGCATCCACAGGATTGCATAAAGATTGCCCCGTACTTATCTGGAGCAGAAAGAGTGACCAATTTGGCTGAGAGGAGTGTATGTAATGCACCAAGACGTTCAACCACGCATTGTATCTTGAGAAGCTGTCAACGAGAGCACTTGCGCGTCAGCTCACAGCTATGATTTTGGTAAGATTACCGGTCAGGCAGATTGATTATAGATTGTGTATTGGAGTAGAAAAACTTCTAACCTGCTAACGTTGAAGAGAGAAGCAGAAATTGCGAAGCACGAGTTCAAAGCAAGTCATTATCGGATTGACAACCTCATTAGAGAAGTTTAGAGTCTGAACTTCAGACCGAATAGTCTATCGGCTTAATCCAAGACGAGGACAAGTTATTAGATGGAACCTATCATCGGCCAAGGTGATATATGGAGCCATCTCTGATTACCTCTGGCGAAAACGAGAGTGATAGTCGGTAAACATGCAAGTTAGCGCAACTTTATTTGGGACATGTGACTGTTCACATGTTATAAGCAAATCAAATCGCATCGCCTTTAACCTCCTATGGGGAAGAGTTGCGTCG